TGCTCTCTCTGCTGCTTCAACCTGCACCGACTAGTTGGAAGTATGGTCAAAGCATGGTGTGGGGAGACCCTCGTTCAGGAGTGGATTGATAAAAGGCCTCTACATGTCTAATTCCTATCAAGTGTTAAAACCACTTCATGGCAATATAAACAATGTTTTCACTTAATTATGCATGCACATTTATATCCCTGATTGACCCCAACAATAGTTGTAAAAAGTTATACATTATGTAAGCTTTTCTCCGGAAGACGACCGTTTGTGTTGCGATTGAAACGTAGTTTTTTGTTGTTATTTTTGGTTATTTTCTTTGAACCTATCTACGCGACTACCAAAAGACCCAAGAATATGTAAGATAATTTTTGTATTTGTAAAAGTTCACTGCAAATATTTAAAAGTAAACCCTATGTACAGCAATGTTGCTGCAATAAAGGTGTAATAAAAGTAGTATTTTACTGTAATTTAATTACAATGTATCTTTTGTGAAAGTCACGGACATGCACTTCCATCCATTAGTGTTTTAATATGTATCGTGTACTATTTGCAGCACTTTTTCTTTTAAACATTACTCCAAAGTGATGCTTCTGTGGTGCAATGGTTGGCACACTGGACTTTTAATCCAGCGGTTGATGCTGGTTCAATCTCCCAGCGGGTTCTTTTGAAAAATATTGGCAAGTTCTTAAATCCCCCCCCCCACCCAACCTCTCCATCCAGCAGTATAAATGGGTTCAGTCGATCGGTAGGTCATGTCATGGTATGCATCAGGCATTCCCACCTTTTCCAAGACGTCTAGCCAGTGTTGAAGAGAAGACCAAAATACGCTGTAGAGGGGTTCAATAATGTTCTGTAGTGTAGGTGGCTCGAGACCACGTTGGTTCTGATTCACTGGGAATGGGTGCCAATCATAGGACTTGAGCTGGCAAATGTTGCTATTGCTTTCAATGTTTTGCACACCACCATTGATTATGAAATGCTTTTAACTGGAGTTTTTTAAATGCATGTATTTACTAATTAAAGTGTAATTCCGAATTGAGATTTCAATAGGTGGGTGTGAAAGAGGGTAGTGGGGTGGTAACCTCAAGTCATCTGCACCGTCATCCTCACGGACCTGCGTGTAGTTTGGTTAAACCTCCAAAACAAAAATTCCAACAGAGAATGGTGTGACGAGGCCTTCATCCAGCAGTGGACTGAACAAGGGCCGACGTAGGCGGCCTCGAAACACAACCAACGGAAATACATTGTAGGAAGTATCTAAATGGGAAAGACCTGCAAAGCTGAGCTCGAGATGAATGTGAAGTGCATTCCTGAAAATGAAATGGTGTGGGGCGGGGGGAGGATAAAAATAACAGTTCTCGAAGGTGCATTGGGATCAAAACATTAACTCCTCCAACCATATGAAGTTAATGTACCAGGTTTAACATGTTTAAAAAGTGGCCGAATTGTAAACAAATCTTATATCCCCCCCCCCCCCCCCGAGTCCAACCCTTTCGCCGAGTCCGTCGCACTTTCCTCGGCAGAGCCGCTAGTCCAGCACCGGGGCCTCGGCGAGGCCTATGCGACGTGGCGGTTAATGCGCATACAAATACAAACGTGTGTACCTTAAGTAGGTACCGAACCTTTCGTAACGCAGCGGGCACTCGTGCGAGTTGTTTTTCGCGTTCGGCGAGGTTTAAAAGACGAACGGAAAAGCGCTTTTAAAAAAAGAAAGCAATTTCGGACAGCCCACGTGCGACAATGAATTGTTTTGGACGAGTCCTTTGTGTGGATTTTGTGCAAGCGAATAGACGGGGGGGACACTTTTATTCCAGGGAGAAAACTATATACATAAACATACACGGTAAACGTTTTATTCAATAGTAAAATGATACATTTGTTAAATCGAGTAAACGCGTGTCGTGACTTTAAACTCGACTTTTATTAAATGGAACGATCCATTCACGACGTAGCGGTTCGATTCCCGCCCAATTCGTGGATTGGAGAGTCGCTTCACCGTGATTATCGATTCAACCCTTTCGCGAAAACGATGGCCGTTTTATCAATCGCAGAATAAACTCTGCTAAGGAACGAACGCGTCTTTGTTGTTATACGGATGTCGGTTGCTTCCGTGGCCGTCCGTTTTGCTTGCAATGTGCGGAATCGATTGCGCAGTTCGATTGTCAGTCTGAATCTACGCATCGGCGACCGATGCAACTTTCAATGGAATCGGTCGCTTTTCGATTTAATCGATCAAACCGTCGAATCGCCCCCGTTAATGGGACACAACAACAACAACAACAGAATGAAACTTAATTGGACAGTGAAAGATTGAGAGGTGGGTTCTGGTAGCGCCGGCGAATTTATTTTGTCCCCCCCCCCCCCTCGAAGCGCCTCTGATCATCGCTGTGAAGACGGCGAGGGAGGAGGAATGGGGGGGGGGCAATGCAGGAGGCTCCATGTTGCGAACAAGCGACACGCGGGCCGTGGAGGGAGGGAGGGAGAGATGGGGGACAGCTAAACACAATTCTTTTTTTTTTATCGTAAACTTAAGTTTAAAAAAAAAGATACGCACAAAAATGACAGCCACGTTTTGTGTTCCATCGCTACCGACGACAGCCGCCGTTCGTCGCATTGAGCGGCGGTGGCGTTTGTGCCAGGCTAGGTGCGCTTTAGAGGTGGTCGATGGGTTTTGTAGACGGAGCCAATGGAGTGGTTACGGGTTTATGCTGATTACGTCAAATTAAATTAACGACAATTGTATGTATTAACAACAACAAAAGTCACCCCGTTATCATTTTTAAGCGGCTGTAACGCCACCAACAACGCTTGCGCCAGGATCGTGACACTTCGTCGGTCAGGTACGAGGTGACTGGACGGATCCAGAGTGTTACCGGTTCATCAGCCTTGGTCAATCCTCTGTTGGATTAGCTCCCCCAATCCGGTTCCATCACTCAAAACTACAGACAGCACTTTGCAACAAAAACCTCCCACTAACGCGTGCGCCAGGCCGGATACACTGACCACGTGAAAGTGGTTGGCCAGCAAGTCACTGGACATATTATGTGGTTACTGTTTTTTGGGTTGTCAATCAGCATCATCAGCAACACCTATGGTCAATCTACGGCTGGATGAAGGCCTCCTCCAGCCGGGACCACTCACGAATCAAAATAAACAAAGCAAACTACAACACTGCAGTTTTATGAAATACAGAAACCCACGTGGCTCCCACACTACCACCATATCCAACCCCTAACCCGTGTCTCCCATCACTACCGCCACCAGCTCCATCCCCAAACCAGTGTCTCCCATCTCTACTACCCGCTACTCCAGGTCTCTCACTACTTACACTACCTCCAAACCCACGGTGTCTCCCATGACTACCAATATCTCCATGTCTCCCATGACTACTACCACCACCATCACCAAACCCACGTGTCTCCTATGACTACCAACATCTCCATGTCTCCCATTACTACCACCACCACTACCTCCATCACCAAACCCACATGTTTCCCATGACTACCACCACCACTACCTCCATCACCAACCCCACATGTTTCCCATGACTACCAACATCTCCATGTCTCCCATTACTACCACCACCACTACCTCCATCACCAAACCCACATGTCTCCCATTACTACCACCACCACTACCTCCATCACCAACCCCACGTTTCCCATGACTACCAACATCTCCATGTCTCCCATTACTACCACCACCACTACCTCCATCACCAACCCCACATGTTTCCCATGACTACCAACATCTCCATGTCTCCCATTACTACCACCACTACCACTGCCTCCATCACCAACCCCACATGTCTCCCATTACTACCACCACTACCTCCATCACCAAACCCACGTGTCTCCCATAACTACCACCACCACTACCTCCATCACCAACCCCACGTGTCTCCTATGACTACCAACATCTCCATGTCTCCCATAACTACCACCACCACTACCTCCATCACCAACCCCACATGTCTCCCATTACTACCACCACCACTACCTCCATCACCAAACCCACGTGTCTCCTATGACTACCAACATCTCCATGTCTCCCATTACTACCACCACCACTACCTCCATCACCAAACCCACGTGTCTCCCATAACTACCACCACCACTACCTCCATCACCAACCCCACGTGTCTCCTATGACTACCAACATCTCCATGTCTCCCATAACTACCACCACCACTACCTCCATCACCAACCCCACATGTTTCCCATGACTACCAACATCTCCATGTCTCCCATGACTACCAACATCTCCATGTCTCCCATTACTGCTACCACCACCACTACCTCCATCACCAAACCCACGTGTCTCCCATTACTACCAACATCTCCATGTCTCCCATTACTACCACCACCACCACTACCTCCATCACCAACATCTCCATGTCTCCCATGACTACCAACGTCTCCATGTCTCCCATTACTACCAACATCTCCATGTCTCCCATTACTACCACCACCACCACCATCACCAAACCCACGTGTCTCCCATTACTACCAACATCTCCATGTCTCCCATTACTACCACCACTACCTCCATCACCAAACCCACGTGTCTCCCATCACTACCAACATCTCCATGTCTCCCATTACTACCACCACCACTACCTCCATCACCAAACCCACGTGTCTCCTATGACTACCAACATCTCCATGTCTCCCATTACTACCACCACCATCACTACCTCCATCACCAACATCTCCATGTCTCCCATTACTACCACCACCACCACCTCCATCACCAAACCCACGTGTCTCCCATGACTACCAACATCTCCATGTCTCCCATTACTACCACCACCACCACTACCTCCATCACCAAACCCACGTGTCTCCCATCACTATCCCTTCCAATGCTCAGCAGTAGTTGGGCAGGAGAGGCCGTCACGTGACCGGGCCGGCTGGTGGCGAGATTGGAGTTTGTAGCGCGGATGGGTGGCGCCGCGCCGTCAACGCCGCACCGAGCCCCCCGTGCTTATCCACGCTACCAAATGCAGCGCGTGAGAGGCGCGAGCTAAAAAAAAACATGGCGGCGATTTTTTTGTTCGCGGGGCGAGATGGACGCCTATAGGGCGCTCGGCTTCGTCTCGCTCCTCATTTGAAGGCCGTTTCCTTTTGTTTCGCGTCGTGCCATCGCGACTACGACAGTCGTCCTTCGTTTTTGGGTCGTTTTTTCCAAGAGAGCAATGAGGGGCAGGCGAGGCAGACCGCCCAAAGCCATCGTGCTAGGCCAAGGCGAAGCCTCGGCGTCGCCTGGAGGCCCCGCGGGGAGACTGCGCGGCGGCCGGGCCCGTGCCGGCGGCGTGGCCGCGGTCATCGCTCACGGGCCGCTCGGGCCCGCGATGCCGGCGTCCCGAGCCGGCGTTGGCTCCGCGGCGGCCGGGCGCAGGGGAGGAGGAGGAGGCCGTGCGGCGGCACTGCGCTCGAAGAAGCTCATGTCCAAGGTAATAGCGGGGCGCGACAGCAGCGAAGACGACGAAGAAGAGGAGGAGGAGGAAGAAGAGGAGGAGGAGGACAGCTACATGGATGATGATTCTGACTACAACCGCGGAGCCAGCGAGGAGGATGAGGTGGACGCGCTCGAAGAGGACGACGAGGACGACCTGAGCTTCTGCACGGAGAAGAGCAGCGACAGCGGAGCCCCCGGTGAGGCGTTGCGGGTGTGTGGATGAAATTGATGAGGTGGACGAGGTGACACGAGGTGGCTCTTCAGGCCCGCGGGGCGGTGTGACGTCGGGAGTGATGCGGAGCGAGGCTGAGCCTCTAGAGGTGCAAGTGTTGGGGCTATTTTCATCCCCGCGGCTCTCCACTGTGAGGATAGGCCAGGCCTAAAGCCTAAACTTAGATCTGGACCTAACCCCGGTCCAATCGGAGACTTGGCCCTCGATTCAACCTTTGTACCGCAATGAACTTAGCTCTGCATGCAAACTCCGTCAAACCCCGTTAACTTTAGTCCTGCTGCTTTGTCTGCCACTAGCTCTACGCATGACCCTAACAATTCACTCCGATCTAGCCCAAAATCTAGGTTTAAAACAAGACTTCAACTTGTAATCCTCAGTCAACTGTTGGACGAGAGCCCTCTCCTCGCCGTGTCGGTGATGGGTGTTTGACGGTACCTAACACGCTGGGCAGTGCAGGCTCGATTCGTCACGGAAACCTCAACTTATTCCAAGTTTCACCGAAATAATTAGCCCTGGCGTTACATTCTCTATATGTTTGTAAACATTGCTCAAAGCAAAATATTGCATTCCTGTTGCATTATCCTCATCCCCTAAGCCTAAATTCCATATTTTCCTAAACGTGGGTTTAACTCTAGAATTAGTTCGCAATTAAGTCCGGGGTTTAAAACTACCACAGGCATGGACAACCAATTATATTCATATAAATCTAGCCTCAGGCCTTAGCATAGCCATGAACCCAGGTGCAATTTTAGAATCGGCAATAAACACGACCATGGCTTACAATAACCCATCACTAGTTATAACTTGGGTTCCATGTTATTTCTACAACAACAAACGTATATGTCCTTGCTCTCTTTGACGATAATTTGTCATTAATTTGTATTATTGAAATACAAATTTTTACTTACAGACTCTTTGTCCGTCAGTCTGAGACTCTAGGCATTAACCCTGACCCTATGCTACAGCAGACGCGACATTGATCTTTAATTATTATTGAAACGTGTTTCTCCAATCCCAGAGCCTCTTGCATTTTCTCTACTAGTCATCATCATTTTTGATGATGAATACCATTAACATCATTTCTAGTCCACTCTTGTTCATTGCTGCGTCGTGAATATGAACACATACAATTTTATGATTGGGGTTTCTATGCACTGATAGAATATTTGAGTGTTGCATGACACTTTGAGACCTCATGTGTGTGGGTGCCTCTAAGAACTATATATATAACATTGAAAACTCACGCTCTTTTTGACTCGTCCCTATAAAGGCAGAACACATTGTGCAAGGGTTGCTACTTATGGGACTCGGTGATGCTGCTCTGACTGTCGCCGGGATAGGTGATCTGACATTTTTCCCCCCCACCTGGAGCTGCAACTGGGACCCTTCGGGCCCTGGCTGCTGTGGCCGCCTGTACTTCGTCTCGTTGGCCTTGGGCCATGCAGTGCCATTGCTCCCCCCCGTCTCATGTGTCCCTATCCTCACCCCCTTTCCTATTTCATCTTCTATATGCAGTCTCTCGCATATGTAAAGCGGATGTATTGTATTTAGAAGAGACGGTGAGTGGGCTTTGTGTCATGTGGAAGGAGCTGCACTGAACCGGGTTCAGATTGAGCGTGAAGGTGTTTGACCCTCCATTTCAATCTGTTGCCTCTTGCTTCGCAACAAGGCCGTAGCCGAATCAAGTGGCCATTGTAGCATCCGTAATCTTCTGTAGCTGAGCTTGATTCGTTCATGTGAATAGCTGGCTGTGCATTGCAATGCATATGAAGGGGAGGGTGGTCGTTGTCACGGGTTTTCATTGCCTATTTGGAAGGGGCCCGCTGATGTGTACACATTTACATTCCTCCACGTGCGTGGCATCTGCTGCTCTTCAGGTGTTGCAGTGCATTACGATGTATTTTGTTTAAAGGTAACAGGAAAGGCGTCACAATGAGCTGTAGCTATGAATATGTATCACTTCTTGGCATTGTAAATTTTGACTGCTATTACAGGTGGCTTACATAGCCTCATGGTTCACTCACTGCTCAGCCAACTCCCACAGCCACCCATTGATAAAAAAAATGTCTTTTCACATCAATGCTCAGGTATGTTTTCTTGCAAAAAAAGTAATACATCACATTTTGCAGGGTGGCAGGGAGGCACAGTGGTAACACTTGTGCCTCACAGCAAGACGATTCTGGGTTAGAACCCCATCTCGGGAGCCTCTTTGTAGAGTTTTTTTTATCTTCCCCCTCCGTTCTGCATAGATTTACTCTGGTTTCTTCCTATAGCTAAAACATACAATCTAACTGCCATTGGCCAAACATCCCAATGTTGAAATATTACCTGCAAATGACTAATTTTGGATTACACAAAGCAACACTGCCCCCAATTGCGAAAAATTGGTAGGTCCCTCCTGAAAACGTCTTGAGACTCGGTGAGCCTTTTCTGGATAAATAAGTGTAATGATAATAGTACGAGTAGGAAAGAAAAGATGCTTGAGTTGGAGCAATCAAGTATCTTTAAACGATGTTGCAGTTTTACTTGTAAATGGCTTTGAGCCACGGTTCGACTGCATGTATTGATCGTGACCTAGGTTGCTGAGGATTTGGGATATGGATGTTGCATGTACTTTGGCAGCAGGTTACGTGATGCCTTTTTACCCATACAAAAAGCTCACAGTTTAAGTTATAACCAATAGAAACTGGTTAACTTGTTAATTAACAAAGTAAATAAACCGCATAACTTCATGCAGTGAATAATATCAAAATCCTATGCTCTGATGATTATCTTTTCAGTTATTTATCAGGAACGTGAGGTCAAGCTGCTGCATGGTTGCTTGTTGACGTGTTTGACTTGCAGTTAGGTTTTGTGTTTTCTGTAAGCCACGTGTCTGAAATTGGCCAGTTGTTTCGGCAAACCAATTTTATGTCCCGTGCTATATGAAATTACAGCTAGATAGATGGAAGGCACAGAGTTATTGCTGTTTACATTGCTCCATATTTGTTATCGTGAGCATTGATGTACGAGACGTCTAAGTAATAAAATGTTACTGTAGAATGGCCTGCGAAGTATTCTTTGGGTCTTTCGGTAAAGTCATGTAGATAGGTTCAAATAACTGCAGTCACGAAAGCTTTAAGTCAAGATTTAGGCCTGCGAAGGTGAAACCTTCAAAAAAATGTGCGGAATGACGTGCACCTTTATTGTTCGCTGTTTGTTGCACGTGCGGTGAATGGTGAATTTGCGCGTCATCACCCACGATGTGTTGAAATCATAGCGATATTATGGAAAGAATTAAAGCTCATGTCAAGTTGAAGAAATATCACGATTGTTCATCAGAGGTTCTCATTTGCCACTTGACATTGATGGACCTATTTCAATCAAAATGTGTGCTTTCAAAGCGGGCTATTAATGTTTTTTACTTTCACCTTTCATAAATTAGCCACATTCTTCTTTGGCTAAGTGTAAAGGTAAACATGCGAAGGTGCATCCCGACAATCACACTGCTGGCAGAAGGACTTTTGCTAGAAGGAGTTCCAGACAGCCTCTCGGGGATATTTTGGCTACTTCTTCCATGCTGGTCAGATATCTTGGAAGTGTGGTGGGTTGTAAGCATAATTTACCCCACCACTTGCAACCTTCCTGTTGACGTACTGTGTACACATTTATCCTGCTTGGTGGATAGATTGTGGGGGATTTAAGAAAAGGTTTGTGAATTACGGTGGACTGCTTTTGTGTTTGCACAGTGCTGCAGACTGCATATATATGCACTTTGATCAAGCAATGTTTAAGTTGCCAGGTGTTCCCTGTTTTTATATACATTTGTTAGCTTATGTGGCCGGGAATCTTTTTTTGACGTTACATTGCTGATGAGGAGGCTATCACCTGTACTGTGGCTTAATAGTTTGCAGATCGGTTAGAGATGGAAGCAATTTGTTGTGCGGCTCTGCTATTTTCAACAGTAAGACTCCATAAAAAGAACACTTGCTTGCAGAATACCTGGTCATATTTTGTCAGATGAACAGGCAATGGGACAATTTGGAAGATCAAAAACTCATCATGCTGCACATTAGTGGGATCAGCCCATCAGCCCCTGTGGCCAAGACTAGGACTTATCTGCGAGCCAGTGGCCCCACAAGCAGAGCCAATTGATGGTGGTTTGCTGCTGATTGTCACAGCTTAGGAGCCACAGGGGTGCACTTAATAGGAATTAGCATCAGTGCATAAAAAGTGCACTGGCAGAGAGATAAGCTGTTCGAGCCAATTTAAACTCAATAATTTTCATTAGTTCTTACTTTTATGCTTTGGTTTCTTTTAAAACATTAACTACTATCGATCACTTGTTTTAAAATAAAATGTTTAAAATAGTTTTTCACTCACATTGCATGCAAAAAAGCATCCAGTAGGTAGTATCAAATTAAAATGTCTTTACAGAGTAACATTAATAACAGATTTGTATAATTTGTGACTTCATATTTTTTTATGGGCGGCATTAGGTAGCTCCCCTTTATGTACATACAGTGAGGGAAAAAAAGTATTTGATCCTCTGCTGATTTTGTACGTTTGCCCACTGACAAATAAATGATCAGTCTATAATTTTAATGATAGGTTTATTTGAACAGCGAGAGACAGAATAACAACAAAAAAATCCAGAAAACACATGTCAAAATGTTATAAATTGATTTGCATTTTAATGAGGGAAATAAGTATTTGACCCCCTCTCAATCAGAAAGATTTCTGGCTCCTAGGTGTCTTTTATACAGGTAACGAGCTGAGATTAGGAGCACACTCTTAAAGGGAGTGCTCCTAATCTCAGCTTGTTACCTGGATAAAAGACACCTGTCCACAGAAGAAATCAATCAATCATATTCCAAACTCTCCAGCATGGCCAAAACCAAAGAGCTCTCCAAGGATGTCAGGGACAAGATTGTAGACCTACACAAGGCTGGGATGGGCTACAAGACCATTGCCAAGCAGCTTGGTGAGAAGGTGACGATAGTTGGTGCGATTATTCGCAAATGGAAGAAACACAAAAGAACTGTAAATCTCCCTCGGCCTGGGGCTCCATGCAAGATCTCACCTCGTTGAGTTGCAATGATCATGAGAATGGTGAGGAATCAGCCCAGAACCACAATGGAGGATCTTGTCAATGATCTCAAAGCAGCTGCGACCATAGTCACCAAGAAAACAATTGGTAACACACTATGCCGTGAAGGACTGAAATCCTGCAGCGCCGGCGAGGTCCCCCTGCTCAAGAAAGCACATATACATGCCCATCTGAAGTTTGCCAATGAACATCTGAATGATTCAGAGGACAACTGGGTGAAAGTGTTGTGGTCAGATGAGACCAAAATGGAGCTTTTTGGCATCAACTCAACTCGCCGTGTTTGGAGGAGGAGGAATGCTGCCTATGACTTTAAGAACACCATCCCCACCGTCAAACATGGAGGTGGAAACATTATGCTTTGGGGGTGTTTTTCTGCTAAGGGGACAGGACAACTTCATCGTATCAAAGGGACGATGGACGGGGCCATGTACCGTCAAATCTTGGGTGAGAACCTCCTTCCCTCAGCCAGGGCATTGAAAATGGATCGTGGATGGGTATTCCAGCATGACTGACCCAAAACACACGGCCAAGGCAACAAAGGAGTGGCTCAAGAAGAAGCACATTAAGGTCCTGGAGTGGCCTAGCCAGTCTCCAGACCTTAATCCCATAGAAAATCTGTGGAGGGAGCTGAAGGTTCTAGTTGCCAAACGTCAGCCTCGAAACCTTAATGACTTGGAGAAGATCTGCAAAGAGGAGTGGGACAATCCCTCCTGAGATGTGTGCAAACCTGGTGGCCAACTACAAAAAACGTCTGACCTCTGTGATTGCCAACAAGGGTTTTGCCAACAAGGGTTTTGCCACCAAAGTACTAAGTCATGTTTTGCAGAGGGGTCAAATACTTATTTCCCTCTTTAAAATGCAAATCAATTTATAACATTTTTGACATGCGTTTTTCTGGATTTTGTTGTTTTTTTGTCTCTCACTGTTCAAATAAACTTACCATTAACATTATAGACTGATTATTTTTTGTCAGTGGGCAAACGTACAAAATCAGCAGGGAATCAAATACTTTTTTCCCTCACTGTAAAGCACAACACAGTCTCTCTTGCATCAGAGTTCTTTGGCACTCGACTGTCAAGACCTTGCATTGGCAAAGCAAATACTCATCCCGCGAGCCACGGGTTACTTGGGAAAACCATGCCCAGTGATTTGCAACTATATTTAAAACATTAATTTAAAATACATTATTTGTGCTTTATATTGTGTTCACTCAATATGAGAACCGCAGTGTCAACATTTTAGCCATGAGTGGTGGAACACGCTTATTTCCCAGAACTTTGGATGTATGTGTTGAGGAATGTGCGGGACAGCAAAGTGCCTGTTGATGGCAGTACAGTTTGTAGGCAACTACATTTTTCCCACCCATCAAAATATTCAATGCATTGGCCAGCCATCCTAAGCAGGACTTTCCAGTTGTAGTCTTGAGAATCGGTTGTGACTGTTCTGGATGTATAATAGAGTGTATAGTAGTTACTTATTATTATTATTATTTCAAAGGCTGATACGTATTTTGAAGTTAATGACTAATCAGTAGTCGGGACAAAGCATGGCTTTTTTAGGCATGAAATGAATTAATTTTCTAGCAATTTCATGAATTATTACTGCTTGGGGTTGCGATTTTATTAATAAGAATCAGTTTTTCACTTTTGTGACATTTTTATTTACATATTTGCATTGTTTCTTTTTTAGTCTCTCACTAACAAACCTGTTCACTGCAATAGCCTAAATATAACATTTCATATCACACTCATCAGCTTCAATCAATCCACTTCTTTATGAAGGCCTCCCCAAGTCACCACTCCAACGAATCAACAATTCACCCAGTACCTGCATACCAGCCGTTCTGATCACTCTATCTCCATGGTCGGCGTTATTTTTGGCGCTGAAAGTCCACTTATATTTCCATAACTTAAAATTGGCTTTTATTTTTTATTAAATGATTGTACAACTCATTATGGCCTCTGATGCGCAAAATTTGATGAACGTGTCACACGCGTATGAATCGATTTTAATTCACACATTATTTAACACCCCTAGATTGTTTCATATTAAGGAAATATCCCCACACACGTGTATGTGTTGTCGGTGCCCAATCATCTGCTCCACATACTGCAACCTCATAGTCTGATGGTTAGCCCACTGGACATGCCTTTCAGAGGTCGCCAGTTCGATTGATCTCCTGGCATGGCGGTTGACCCAATGGGCAAATTCTTAAATTGCCCTGTCCACTTAGTAGGTGAAATGGAAAGACCAGTTATTCGACTGTTAGGTAGAGTGTGGTGGGGTAAAGTATGGCTACTTCTTCTACCCCTTGCAAGATGTCTGGTGACCGTGGACAAGTGGGCCATATACTATCAAGAGGAGCTCTATAAAGCCCCATCTAGTTGAAACCCTTTCACCCACAGTGGCATGAGTGAGAATTTGCAAGGTTGCATTTTATATGATTTTTACATTAATATTGTGTTTGATATTGAGCCTCTACGCATGTGTGTCCACCGGTGCCAGGTCGCAAGCGTCCATTCCGTGCACCACGGCCCCCGAGCCCGCCATGCGAGGAGAAGGACGTGCCTCCGCTCACGCTGCCGCGCTCCTCCGAGGACCTACTGGTACCCTCCGAGCACATCATGGAGGCACTGGGCGTGTACGAGGTCCTGCGGCGGTTCCGCACCCCATTGCGCCTCTCACCCTTCCGGTTCGAGGACTTCTGCGCCGCCGTAGCTGCCCAGGAGCAGTGTGCGCTGCTCACGGAGACACACCTGGCGCTGCTGAGAGCCGTCCTCAAGGTAAGTGGCGCGGTGGCTTTAGCGAGATGCAAGAAGGGTGATGGGACATATGATCAATCCATTGCTGGATGGTCTCCCAAAGCCGTTGCCATCTCTCACGGTCCTGTGATTTAGGAATCAACTGAGCATCTGCACATAAGCTGATTGCATTGCTCCACTTGTCAATTTATTTTTGCCAATTTACATCCATTCAAATTCAGTGATATTGTGCTGCAGGCATCTTATGATTTCTCAACACATTGCACTTTTAGAGAGCACTGGTTATTATCATTTTGCCTTGCGTATGTGTCCTTTTGGGTTTGGTATTTTTTCCAGGCATAATCAGGCACATGCAGCATGTAACAACTCATTTTTATTTCAAACGTTTCCAAACCTTAAAAAAATGTACCATGGTGAATGATGAGGAACTGAGTTCTGGGAAATCCTCGTGTAACACCTGTCTTTTCACGTTGATATTTTGCAGATGATGGGGCAAGTATAGGCCGTTTTTCGTACAAAGAAAAGATGGTTTGAGTTGACAAAAATCTGTGATCCTCTCCTCAAGTTTTCTACCGAAGCGACAGAAGAGGGATCTCATGATTCATAGAAAAAAAATCTATCTTTATGCTCAAAATTCACGAGTCTCGGGAGTGTAAATGCAATCCATAATTTCCCATCGTTTCCCATGTTTGACAGATGAGCAATCTTAGAAGAAGACAAACTACAAGACAACTTGCTTTTGCAAATGCATCCTTAATTGACAGATTTTTAAATAAATACATTAAATTATAGTCATTATTGTCACTTTACCACTCTCATTACTATTCTGCATTGGTGGTATAGTAAGATGTTTGGGAGTAATGTTACATTGACATCAATTGAGTCCTGTAATGGCATGCCTGACTATATTTTTTATCATGAACAAACTGTTATACAGCCTTGGTACGTGTCTGTAAGATTAGAGCTCTGGTTGTTTTTTGGCTGGTGTCCTTCCGTTCATAAGGAGGAGTGGCAGATAAAATCAGCATTGTGCTTCCATAGGATCCAAATGAAAGAACTGCTGTGCTTTAGAGTGACCAACTGTTGATTGATTGTGCCCTACTTCTATCAGTCCTTTTTCCCCCCTCCCATATATATTCCAATTGTGCTACCAGTGTCGCATAACGACACAAAGTTACCATTTGGAACTGTTACAGCGAGCAGTAGACCACTAGGTTTCAAAGAACGGTCCAAGAGATGATGTCATTATCATAGGCCTAGCTACATTAGGGGCATGCCTTTTATATTCCTGACAAATAGTTTTTCTTTAATTTCAATGAAATAAAAATGTTTAATTCTCAGCATTGAAATCAGTCAGATTTATGTAGTGAAAAAAATCAAATTTGTTATTTATTTTTTGTAGTTATTTATAACTGGGTTGAGACGTTCAAATGGCAAATAAAAAAAAACCCATTTTGATCCCAGGTAGCTCATCAGATTCAAACACAGGATGTCATTAGTATCAGCTGAGTGCTGAAATACTTACAGCAGAATCCTAATGAAGGAGCCTCTTGATATCAGAAGGAATGTTTAATCAATGGAACCTGCCATGCACAAGAGAGTACCCTTAAAATACTTGTCATATGCTCCACAGTGGATGTTAAATATCCCATCACATTCTTTAAAAAAGTAATCTATGTGTGAAAGTATCATCATCTACATTTTGCATGTTTGATAAATTGCTGTCAAATCCACATCGCAACATCGCCCTGTACTGGCAGACTAATGTCCACTTGCTGGCCCGTGTTGCATTTACCTCATACCTCAAAGGGACAGCTGGCACTGGGGGTTGCCAGCTGCAAGTCTCTTTGAGATTGTGCTGCATTATAGGCATGGTTAAACATATTAAGTCTTGATGATGATAGCATCTTTGCCAGTGCGGTTCTGATCCATTGCCCGTGTTGCCAGGAGGAAGACTCAACGGGCACCTCGTTTGGCCCGGCTGATCTGAAGGATTCCATCAACTCGACCCTCTACCTTCTGGACGCGATGACTTGGCCCGAGGTGACGCGCTCGTACTGCGAGAGTGACCCCAAGGAGCTGGGCGCCCCGCTGAATACCCTCGACCTGGAGGACTTCCCCTACGGCCCCCTCATACCAGGTGCCCACTCCGCCAAGCCATATCCGCACAGGAATGTAAGCTGTGACAAGTGGCTCTAGTTTGATGAGGCTGCGAAGTCCGCGTCAGGTTTTCCATTCTCAGGTCGTGAGTAATGTGAATAAATTGATGATTGGAATGCGAAGGGAATATGTAATGATTCACCAGTGAAAGGTATCTACCAGGTGCAATGTGCCTGTTTATTTTGTTAATATTGTTATTTTTTGTTCTTTAGTACATTTTTGCCTGCACCTCTGATATGTTCTCTTCTGTTGTTGCCTGTTCCTCTACTTGGATCACTTTCACATTCTTATTCTGTGCTGCTGCACCACAAATCTCCATTGAAAACTAGCTTGGTCACTGGCTAAGTAGAACTTTGTCTGTAATATCTTGACTTAAAGATTTCCTGACTGCAGTAATTCATATTCGTTGGGTCTTTCGGTCACGTAAATAGGTTCAGAAATAAAATAAGATATTTTTATTAATTTGAACCTATTTACGTGACTTTACCGAAAGACCCAAATAATATTTGTGTCATACATAAATATGAATTCATTGATTTTAAACCACTTCTGAGAATCTGTATGATAGGCACGTAAAGCTTTGCATCCTCACCCCAGTGATTCAATGATTTGAGTTTGTTTGCAGAATTGAATATTTTTCTTTGTATTGTGGTGAATGTTGAGCCTTGAGTGCCTGCAAGGTTTAAGTAAACCAATATCATACAACTAATGCAAACAAGACTAGCTAAGCATCTCTGATTCCAGCCTGCCAGAATTACATTTCTGATTGACTGGTAGTTGTGGTGGTCCGTTAGTCTTAGTGATTGTCCTGGTGGTCTTGGTGGTAACCATGGTGTTTTGACAGGTAATCCCGATGGTCCTGGTCTTCCCAGTGATAGTTCTGGTAGTTTCATTGGTAGTTATGTTAGTTTCGGTAATCCAAGTGGTATTCCAGGAGTTCTCAGTAGTAACTCTGGCATTCCTAATAGTAGTCCTGGTGGTTCTGGTGGTAGTCCCAGTAGTCAATCCAGATACCAGACAATTGTTATTCTGGAATGTATCAGTGCCATTGCAAAACGTATTTCTTAAGACATTGGCCATACTTTTAATGGCAATGCTACTAGGCCAGCAAGGTTCCGTGGGTCATGTATCTTGACCTGAAAGCCATGCCGGAAGCAACGCATGCACACCCCCCCCCCTCCCCCCCCCCCCCTCATGGTTCCATGATTCTTCTGATCCCACGATCCCGCTAGAAATGATGGGATTCCAGGCCAAGAACTGCGAGAGTTGCTCCACTTGAATCTGATTGTCCCGTGTGTGTGTGTGTGTGTGCATATCCGCGTCGGGTGTCACGGGTGCTCGTGTTCATGTTGCGCGAGCGTCTGTCTGTGCGATCTGTATCTGCCGTGTCCTTCCTACCGACAGGAAAGCTGCGCGTGCTTCGCTTCCTCACGGACCAGTTTGTGACATCGACGCCGGCGCGTGAGGAGCTCGTGTCCGAGGGCACGATCCAGTACGACGACCACTGCCGTGCGTGCCACCGCCTTGGCGACCTGCTCTGCTGCGAGACGTGCCCAGCCGTCTATCACCTGGAGTGCGTCCGCCCGCCGCTCGCCGAGGTGCCCGAGGACGAGTGGCAGTGCGAGGTGTGCACCGCGCACCGCGTGCCCGGCGTCACGGGCTGCGTGCCCGAGGCCGAGGGCGCTGTGCCGTACGTGCGGCACGAACCGCTGGGCTACGACCGCCACCGCCGCAAGTACTGGTTCCTCGCTCGCCGCATCATTGTGTGAGTCAAGACCCACCTGCGCCGCACCCCCTGGTTGCACAGCGTGCCTGTTTATTCTTACCATTGTGTCTTGTTGTCCACACTGTCATTTTTGCCCAATTTTATCCCGCCTGTCGTGTCGAGTGTCAGGGCGTGAACATTAAGCAACCCTGTGTTTTAGAGAATTGCCCACAGAATTGGGTTTAACAGAACCACCTCTGAGATCTCTTCAAGTGACCTCAGGTCAACACTTTGCCACATGCTTCATGTGTGAGATTAATGTTTTTCGGATGGCAGTTAAGCTTATTCTCAGACCTGGAATATAGAAAAAATAATTGTAGAATGAAATCTAGTGTGGTGGCCATTTGGAGCCTTCATTATTGACCTGTCTAAGACCATCCACTTCCCATACTTTAGAACCTGTTTTAATCACAGTCGACTACCTGGATTTGAACCCAGAATCTTGGCGATACCAGCTCAGGAATCTGACCTCTGAGCCACCCAGTTACCTCATCTCCTGCACGATTATTATTCAAGGTAGATGCGGCCTGATGCAAACCACACACACAATAATATGTGTGTGGTTTGCAAAAAAAAATAGGTGTTTAGGAATGTTGTGCTGTGAATGTCAAGTGCTCTTTTGTGTTTTTTTGTAATAATCAGCATAACAAAGAAACCCCTGCTGTCTACTTCTGACAAATAACGAAACTGCTCCATACATGATTTCAAGAAAAATGTAACCTCATTTTTTTTTTCTACATACTTTTACCTTGGCTGTGTCTCAGGCTGTCAGATACATTTGAAGCTCGGTAATGAGAAAATATACTTGATGTTTATAATCAAATACTGTAGCGATTCCACTGTGACATTTAATTACATCACTAGTGCACCTTATTTATTCAGGAAAGCCTCACGGAACCTCAAGACACTTTTTCAGGAGGATTTTTACAATGGAATGTTTAGCCAATTCTATTAATGAGTGTTTGGCATGTGAACGAAAACTAGGGTACCCAGACTGGGTTTAACGCTCAAAAATCCACACGAATAGATTAAATAATCTGTTGCTCTCCTGCTATCTGGCTAAAACCGATGCAGAGACTTCAGTTTAGTGCTATAAAGGCATATTACTGATTTTTGAAGTCTTTTTCTCATTAATAAAGCTTGCATCTCTTCCAGATATGGTTAACACAGCCTAAAGGTCTATATCTGCAAAATACGAGCTGTTTGTATTTTAGGTTGCAACATCATTGAAATCATATTATTTTTCTGAGTCAGACAGCAGATGTTTTTTGTTGTACTGATTATTTTCAAAAACACAGCGGACCACTTAGCTTTCACTGCACAGCATTCTGAATGCATGTTTTTCAAGCAGTACATGTGTACAAGAACCACAGACTGAGACATTAAAGAAAGCCATTTCTAGGATGCATCTCAGAGTGACCTCTGGGGAGCAATTATCGCAGCTCGGGCAATAAAAGTGCCATGTATTCAAAGGCTGGGAGTCATTATGCTTTATGCATTTTTGCTGTAATTACCCTAGTTTTGAAAATGCTTTTATTCATCAAGGTGAGCACTTGCTCATCAGTGACATATACAAAAGTTGCAGCCTTTTTTTTGTAAGCTCCCAGCTGACTTGACATTTCCTTTTTTTTACTTGTTTTAGCTTTGTATCTGCCTTGTTACTTGACTTCATGAGCTGATTATCAAATTTTAGATTTGCATTTTACCATTGAGCATTTTACTTACTTTGTCCCTTTCATTGAATTTAAGCTGTTGTGGGCTGACTCTCTATAATTGTTACGGGTTCGATTGAAGATACGTTTAAACTGACATGCATTAAGGTATACGAAGGTCATGGTTTTTAAGCTTAAGTCAGCCAAGCGACAGACATACAATGCACATGTGACAAACGTGATGGCAAAATACTCTCGTAAAGCAAGGATACTCTCATAACAGTCCACTGCTCGATTGGGGCCTCCCCATGCCATTCCAGTCATGGGGGTTGTTTGACCATACTTCACCCTGGTGGTGAGTGCGGGTTGTTGAAGGCAGGCGAAGAGAGATTGAGGGGGGGGCAGGTGGTGGGGGAAGAACCAGTTCTGATATCAACATTGGTGTTAGCCAAGGCTGGGAATTTATTATAGTTCACCAGGTTCATAGCGAAGCACTGTGCCACTGCTCAACCATATATGCATTATGTAGTGTTCATTAAGGTTGCCTTTGTGGTGTCATATTATTGCTTGGATTCGGAAGTTTGCTGAAGACAGTTATAAAAGTGTGTCATCTGCAGAAAGTGGAAAATGTCCTGGACTTAATTATCCTGGTCTAAATGAAAAAAAAACTGGCACATAGTAATAATGTGCCAACTTATGAAATGTAAATATTAGAATGTAATGTAATTAATCCTCCTACTTGTGATTTGCTGAATTGTCACGACTTGATCTCAGTTAGATTCAAGAATGTATTATTTTCTTTACCATTTTTGGTGAATGCAGCACCTCCAGTTGCTGCATAGGTGACATGAACCAATTTGATCACATATGAAACAACAATAATAATAAATTGATGCATAGTAGCATGCATCTTTGTAACACTAGCAATTATAATAATATAATTTGTGTATGACATTGCTGCTTTCGTGGCATATCACAGTGGTGTATAAGTTCAAACATCACAGGCCATTATTAAAGTGCGTCTTCTGAAAAATGTGGTATTTTAGGATCACTGCACAAAATCACTCAAAGAGTAATTGAACTAATATATCATTCTCAATGCTCCTGAAACAGTTTGAGGACTTGGCAAAGCTTCTAAGATAATGTACAGAAAATATGATTTTCGTTTTATTACATTTGTGTCTTTCTCACTATCAGCGTGATGTGAATACAAAGTAGCCAATGAAAATTTGTCAGAGGCAGTGGAATCTCTTGTTTTAGAGAATAGTATGGAAGGGGATTTCATAGAACTGCTTGTAAAATACCTTTCCGTGGATTTTTTTATGCACACTTTCCCAAACGCCAATTTCGTAAATCTTAGAGAAATGAAATTTGATGTATAATTGTGCAGCTATTGGGTGAGCCCATCAGCTAATTACATTGGAGAACCTAGTTTAATCACGTTTGTGAAACAGATTTGAGCCCCAGAGCTCAGCGGTACTGGCTTAGTGCTCGAACCCCTGAGCCACCTGGCCACCTCAATGCGTGATTTTTTTTTATTGAATTTGTATAAACCTCGTCAGTGTCTGCCATCATCTTTCACCGACGACGGGTTTGATGGCGGGTTTTTGTCATGTTTTGCGTCCGGCAGGGAGGAGGAGGAGAACGTGGACGGCTCCAGCAAGCCGGTGTGGTACTACAGCAGCCGGGCGCAGCTTGCCGAGCTGCTCGAGAGCCTGGACTCGGAGCGCTGGGAGGCCGAGCTGTGCCGTGCTCTTGAGGAGTCCCGAGAAGAGATCCACCGCCACATGGACGTCACGTCGGAGCTCACCGAGAAGGCACGAGGCAACGCCCGCTCCTACCTCTCCAGCGTCAACGGTGCGTGACGGCGGTGGTGCACGCCCGAAGTCTCAGCATGACGCCATTCATTTTGTGCGCGTGTCGTTTTCATGTATTTATCGGCCGAGTTGTGCGATGTGGTCAGAGAGTATGGGTCGTCTTTGTAATGTAACTCTAATCTAATTTTACATTTATAGAGTGCCTTTAGTCCAGGCGCTTGACATAAGGTGGAGAGTGTATGTATGCACCAATTATTTTCCCAATTTGGTGAAGTGATATTATTTGGAGTTTGGATATGTGTTTATTGTGTCTGTTTAAACTTTTTTCTCTCTCATTTTGTACAGTTTTGTTCATTCTGTTCACCCGGTGACCTGTGTTTGATTCCCGCCGGTTGGTAACATCAGTGGCGAGTGAGATCTGAACTGGTCCTGGGTCCACACCCCCCACTGCCACCAGCCCGCATTGACCAGCATGGTGAAAAATGGTCTTACAACCCCCTTGACTGACTTGGCATGAGAAGGCCTTCATTCAGCTTTTGCTTGACACGTAGTCAAATATAATTTTGTCTAGAATAAATAGCAATTGAATTGCATATTTTTAGCTTAAATTGAAAATAATTCTCGCATTTTATGCGTATGCCTTGTGTATAAAAATGATTACATTAAATTTGATGCATTTTTACATGCCTTTATAGTAAGTTAACATATTGGCTGAGTGCTGACTTAGCCCTTTATTCCTCCAGTATTAATAAAATGTGTACTCCTTTGAGGGAAGTGAAAAGTGGTTTTCCTCTGCAGGTGCTGGCGTATAACATAGGAGCACTGGCAGTGCCAGTGGGGGTGGGGGGGAGGTGGGGTGGAATGTGCCCCCCAATGATCCGATTGAAATCCCTAATTTCGTTTGGATCATTGGGGTTTATTAGTAATAAATTGCCATTTTGCAACCCCCCCCCACTGCCACTGTGTAGCATATTAGTATGTGCCAGGGACTCTATGAGATGATAGGACAATCGTCTGAGTCCATAATTGGCAATAAGTAACAGCAAAGCAGTTATAAGTGACTCGCAGAATTGTGCGCAATTGCGTATACAGTACACGACTTCCCTGAAGGCATCAACACCTTCAGCGAGCGCGATGCCGATCACACCACGCGGTTCGAATTCGACCCTCGATCGATGGCTGCGTCATCGCCGCGCACGCGTCGAATAAAAAGCAAGGGACAAGTCCTTACTAACAACTCCTTACTAACAACTCCTATAATTTCTCATTGCTGGAGGGGTTGCCCCCCCTACCTGAAAATCCTGGCTCCGCCATTGCATAGGAGGGTAGAATTTTTTCTTTTGTCTCATGTTTATGACAGAAATGATAATGTCCTGTGATATTCTATTTAATTTTCAGTTCTAATAAAACATCGCATCCGTTCTTGTGACACTGACAGTGCACCCCACTCATAATCACAAGGTCAAGTGGTTCAGTCTTTAAGGATTGACTCGGGTTTTCATCATCATTATCATCATCCATCTGTAATCAAATACATTTTGTTTTTGCCACAAGTCATTATCATTGTCCTGTAGGGAAACACTGCTTCCTGCCATAGTAATGTGGAATTTCAAACACTCGCCTTGCATTTTACAGAGGAGATCTTGGAGAGGCAGAAGGTGAAGCGAGAGGTCGAGATGGAAGAACTAAAACGCAAGATGGCTGAGGAGTCGGAGCGAGCGCGCAAGGAGGCAGAGGAGAAGGGGGAGGAGATCTGCAGTGGTGAGCCGGGGAGTCCAGTTTGTTTCAAAAAAATGTTTTATTGTAAGCCAAGAGTTTCATCACGACAGAATTATATTTACAACCATTAACAACACTTCTGATTAGCACAGTTGGCTACATATGGTGTGAAATAAATTCAACATAGTCATACAAATTGGCCACTGAACCAGCGTTTTTAGGAGCATTTCTATAAGCAAATAATACCTTGGCCCGGTTGCAAATTCCGTCAGTCTCCTCAGCTAGGGAGTGACCTGTTAAATGCTGCAGGATTTCCTGGTTGTTTTTGGCAAGAGCGAACTAACTGTATCAGTAAATTGTGACTATGTTAATTTAATAAAAAACTAATGCATTAACAAAATCAGGTCGGTTAAATTACCAAAATAAAATGTGTCATAGAGCCTGGAAGGCTGAATAAACTTACCTCTGTTTGTGGTGCACAGCCAACGCATTTAAGATCGGCTGTGCACCTAGTCCACCCAATGACAGTAAAAAAAACTTATAAATTGAAATGAATAAAAAAAATTCAGTGGCAAATAGGGAAAATGCCATTTTCTATCAGCATTAAAGCACCTCTACAAAGGCAGGTGAAGATGGTTATAATTGACTGGGATAGGTCATGTGTGTTATTTTATTCTATTGCCGTGTGCTATGCAAGTCTTGAAGGAAAGCAGTTAACCTCTGCAAATATTAGCAGTAGCACTGCAAAAATTCTAAACATTTCCTTCAAATCAATATACTTTAATACATTTACTCCAGAGATGTGTTATTGTCATTGGGAATTAATATACTGGTTCCTGTGGAATCCAGCAATTACATTTATAAAGTAACATTTAAAAAACATTGTATGGTGCTTTTATTGTAGGATACAATTAAATAACTAGCATAAGTTTCTGATAAATTTAACTTGTTTATACAGCTCCAGACACATTTTCTGAGTGAAATTCTGTAGTCTAATCCACGTTGTCAGCTGCACAGTGCCTTATTAAATGCACTGTAATACAATAATAACTGAACCGGCTTGTCACGCGAGTTGAATTCGTTAAGTTGCAGGTAACGTGTGGGATAGAACAATACAGCCAACAGCCACAAGACGAGCAAGACGTATTGGTGTCTTTATATATGTTTTAAAAATGTGCATCTTAACATGTGTAAATGTGCTTTTGCTTCCAGTGATATCTTAATTTGCATTCACAGTAATTGGGAGCCAGTAGCTTTGATTGAAAATAGATGCCACGATTTAGTTTTTCCCCTCCCCAAAAAAAATCTCCACAGTAGTTCATGAAATAATGACCGATCACAGTTACAGTATTTGGTTTGGTTTAAAAATTTATTTGGTTTTTACATGATCTCTTTTCGCAGAACCTGTGAATGGAAGTGCAGGGGAAGGTAGTAAAGACAACGAGGAGGCCTCTGGGATTGGGCAGGCGGCATCTGCGGATCAAGACGGAGCCAAGGAAGGCACGGAGAGCACACGGGAGTCCTCCAGAGGCGACGAGGCCAGCAAAACCACAGAGGACGACAAGGCTGCCAATCCACCACCTGCCGCTGATGGTGCAAAATTTGTAAAAATGTCTTAAATTACCAGTTATAGCCTCACTGGGTATCAGGGCTCAGGTTCAGGAGGTTCCTGCTTGGGATGTTTTGGTCAGATTATTATAAAATCTTTTTTATAACTCGTTTGGTTCAATCAAGTGAAAGTGTCTGCTTCAATGCCACGAATGGTAGAATGTCCACATTCCTTTTGCAGTTCCTCCAAGTCAGCCACTTTGGTTTCCCAAAAATTATGTGCTGACAACTACTAGATCATCTGGCGATTGAATGTGACATTTGTTTCATATTCATGAAAACATTTGTTCATGGATAATTTACATCAAAAGAAAGATGTATTCATCATTCTTGATTTGAAGCTTTCGTGACTGCAGGAATCCATACTCTACAGTTTTTTCGGTAAAGTCACGTAGGTAGAAAAATAATAATAGATCACGACGTTTCGATCGCCACCCTAGCAACCGTCTTCCGGTGGGAGTGATCTATTATTATTGTTCTTCTACCTGCTTGACTTTACCGAAAGAACCAAAGAGTATGTATTCATCATCTTTATAACTTTTTATTAGCTATTCTGTTTAACAGCCACAAATTCAGTAATATGATTGATTATTTTACACGCCTTGGTGGACGGAATGCATTCGCAGTACTTTTTCTAATGCAGGCATTAATTAGGCAAAGTGTTGTTTACACTGCACTAATATATGGACATTGCAGGATCTGGAGACTCCAAGTCAGGCTCTTCTGCAAGCCGTGCATGCAGTCCCATTGCCAGCGGCAACACAGATCTGGATGCCCAGCAGCCTTCCCAGAATGCAGCGGCATCAGCGACTTCCGACCTCCCTGGGCTGGACTTCCCTGACAATGTGTCTCAAAAATCTGACACCTCCAGCCAAAATGGTGGGCATTTGCAATTTGCTCAAACAACAAACAAGACATTAAATTGCTCCCAAAAGTGGCACTGCCACATATGGGGAAACATGATTTCAGCTCTCAAACCTGCTTACTGTTGTTTCACTGTTGACATGTTGATAATCATTGACCAAAAATAGGGAGAAAAATGTAAATGCTTGGAGAGAGGCGTGTTTTCTCCATAGACAGGTTGCCGGCGGCTTAATGGTCTGGTGTTTTTGTGTGTTGTTTTGTTTTGGTTGCCTGCTGTATTCATTCCAGAGTCGGTATGCAGCAGCAATAAATCTGGCAAGACCTCAGCTGATGGGGAGTCATCAAACGGTGGCAACGGTAAACACGATATTCGAATTGCCGTTTGAACAGATGCCTACTCTTTCTGATGCAATGGCTTATGCATCTATGTTGAATGTGAAACAGTGCAGGAAAGGTTTGCATGTTTAATTAACACGTGATGTGCATTGTCTATTTGCCTTGGCTTTAAACGAGAAATGCTGCATGTTCCACTCATGGAACTGCTTTTTGCCTGCCTTTATGTTCATTAGGAGGGATGTGTGCTGACATCTTCCATTCCCACAAAGGGGAAGGGGGTCATTTGGAGTCATGTGTTCATTCACGCTGTGTCTGCTTTCACTTCTAACATAATTTCCTTGCATGTTCCATTCATACCGCGTGGCTGTGCTGTGTGTCTTTGTTGCGTTTTAGCAGGACGTCTTGGCACATTTAATCCATTCGGAAATACGGATGTGCTGTGTTTGTGCCTCATCTATTCGCAGAACCTGTTGGCATGTTCCATTTACTTTGTCAACGTGTGCTTTGTACCTGCATTATTTTTTCGCAGGACATGCTGAATTATTCCACTCCCTTTAAGGAGTGATTTTCCTATTGTTGAGAATGAACCACTTGACACTGCCATTGACTGTGCCCCTTTTTCCCCATTTCCCCTATTTCCCTTTAATTTCCATGCATTGCAGTGGATGCACTTATCTTCATACATGTGTTTTTAATTGAGTCATGTGCGCATGGTTATACGTCCATGAGCTTCTTGAAGGACTGCTGCATACCCTTTTGTTCGCCATATTTTATCGTACACGAGTCGGTTAATACAAAAATATTTCTGGGTTTTGCAAATGACCAAATATATTAAATGTACACATATGTTATCCTAAACATCTATTAAACATGACTAGTTGAAACTAAACCACTAGACATGTCATGATGCATGAATTAATTAAAATCGATTATGCATGTGAGAATTTATCACATTTTATTAAAATTATATGTAATCTTATATTTAGACAATTGTGCAACACTCTATACAAGAAAGGAAAACGGATAAAACATTTGTTTATGAAATCGTTAAAATGAGGCAAGAATGTATTCTTGAACTCTTAATGAGACAATTATTTTTTGTTTTAAAGCTTTCGTGACTGCAGAGATTCATATTCTTGGTTCTTTCGGTAAAGTCATGTAGAAGGGAAAGTAATAAAAATATAACATAATGAAATAAAATTCTCACGACGTTTCGCTGTCTTTCCGACAGCTCTGTTTCTTCACCTGAGGACGGCTGCTTGCGTTGTGGCCGAAACGTCGTGAGAATTTTATTTTATTATGTATTATTTTTATTATTTCCCTTCTATGTGACTTTACCGAAAGAACCAAGAATATGTAGACAATTTAAATCATGGGAGACTGAATCTTTAAACGCATTTAAAATGGTGCAATTTTTTGAAACCTCGTAAAGCACTCGCATTAATCACTGCCCTCTTTTAACTAGGCCGCGATTGAAATACAATCCCTAATTTCTCTAGCGTCGTCATAACAACCAAGCATCGACAGGCTTTGTTACGCTTTTTTTAGGACAACGGCGCTGCCCAACGGGACAGTTGCGGCCCCTTGACGCGCCGCGCTGTGTGTTATGTCGTGCCGTGCGGCGATGGCAGGCTCGGAGACGGGCAAGGGGCCCACACCCACTGCCACGCGCATGGTGACCCGATTGCGCAACCCCGAGAGCAAGCTGAACCAGCTGAAGAGTGCGCAAGCGGCCGCCGCCGTGCATGAAGCCAACAAGAGTTTCAAGGAGGGAAAGGAGGTGAGTGAGGCGTTCTGCGGCTATGACAACGATTCAACGCAAAACAATGTTGGATGTGTTTTTTTGCGGAAGTTTATCTACTTGGCATATAACAATGCATTGAGTAAAATATTATTTTGCTGATGATACACTTATCAAATTGTGTACGCGTAAGAATTGCCTATTACTTCTGCAAACTATATACAAATTGTGTGCTGATTTTACATTTAGGCTTAAGTTTGTGCACATGAGAAATGAATAACAACAATAGTAAAATGAATAGTTGATTCTTCATCAAAATCATGACACTGCATGAAAAACATTTATTGACTTGCTGGTGGGGGAGAGGTGGATCATTACATGTGCAAAGGAGTCTCAGCCCGGGTAAGCCTTGAACTCGGATTTCACAACGTCTTCAGAACAGCACGTAAAATGTAGGCATTCCAAACCCATTCAATCCATTCTTTTTAGCCTCTTCCCCATCCTTCTCGGAATTTTCCCTTCCACCCCACCAATCCTGTTCGTTTCTCCTAGTAGTCTCCCAACCGACCCCTCATTTGTATTTGAGTTTTCCCGGGCTCTTTTAAATTACCCTGATGACGAATCTGATTGTAATGGTTTTCCACCTTCCATTGAGATCGTGCACCCTATGTCGTCTCCCCATGTGATAGCTCGCTAATAAGCGTTGAGCGCGCTATTTGAACTCGCAAGCTGTTAGAAACGGTGAGTATATATTTGTTTCTTAAGAGGATGTGGCTCTCCGCGTCCCTTATACATTGCTTCTGTTTGAAGCTTCACTAATTGGAGAAAAATAATGAAAACTCGCATCCAGGTGGCTTCCAGACGCACGACCGTAGTTTTATTCCCTCCAGTACCGTGTGGTTTGTCGGAGTACCTTCGTCTACATTAACAGCATAGGAGCCCTATAATGCTGCTATATCTTGACGTTCTGTTCTGAGTTGAAGTACGTGGTTGAATTTTTAGAGAGTTCATACCTCTATTCACATCATTGTATTGGTGCCTGGTACCAAGAATAAGACTTAATATTGCATTGCTCTGGAATTATATTGTTTTGACCCCATAATGCAGAAGCGCCATTTGTAACTTGAGTTACATGTTTTACTTGTGGTATCTTCAGCTACTTGTGTATTGACGCCACTTGGATATCTGCTTTTTACACTGGCCTCGCCTACCGGTCAACTTGGCCAAAAATGACAAGCCACGGGCATTGGCGATGATCCCATTGCAGCTAGTGTGCGCGACTGCTTTCTGAATGGGTCGTTGTTACTGGCACTTACCCCTGTTGTGGGCTCCAGCTTAAAGTGGGGATAGATTGCTCCTTGTTTGCTGCCGTTTATCAAGTGAAGTCCATTTTGCCACGCCAAAAAGCTGAAGGATTCAGCACTGAAACACTAACCTACCTGTCCTTGTTTGTTCTCGCTGCCTCTCTTAAGCTGAATGATCTCAATATTTTGCCGTACCGGTGATGCCTGCACACCGTATGTATTGTTTTTTTTTGGGTCATGTCATTTCATATACGCTCAGATGATCTGTGGATGACTAAAGGATGTTCAATATAGTAATTGTTTGGAAAACGATTAAGCTCTACTCACCTCTGACAAGCATTTAATTTACTGAACAAAGGCTTCAAGGCTTGTGCTGCTGTGGGTATGTGCCATCTGATCAACACGAGTACCCCTATTCCGAGTCAGCTCCTCAGTTGGGCTAGGAAGACATTCTAGTTCAAGATGCCATTATAAACAATGTCATAGTTGCTACCACACATCACTTATTCCAGGCCCTGCCACAAGTATACAGTCACCTTCTTGATCGGATAGGTCTACCCACACAATATTCCACTGGTTATGGTTTTCTCTATGTTAGGTGGTGGCCTCCTTGGAGCTCCCCAGAAATTAAATGTACTGTGAGACTGGCAAAGTATGTAATAAAAAAACAACCTTTTTTACACTGAAGAAAGTATTTTTAACACTTTTGTTATGAAGGATTCTACATGGGATGTTTGGCCAATATCATTTATGATAAAGGAAGCTAGAGTACCCACTCATACGAGGGTAAGACTCGGAGCTCTGCGCAAATAGATTATAAAATCCATTGCATTACTGCCGTCTCATGGCCACCTCGCAGTCGAAAAACGTACAACGCCTTGTCTTCTCAGGCATTCTCCCATCCGAGTACTAACCAGACCCAGCCCTCCTTAGCTTCAGAGTTCCGACAAGAACGGAGTAATTAAGGGCCGTGCGGAAACGTGCATCCCCCCTGCTCTGCAGGTGCTGGTGATCAACTCATCAGGCGAGGTGTCACGGCTGAGCGTGCGCCGCGAGCTGGTTATGAGGGGCACGTTGCCGAGCCAGCTTTTCAAGCTGGGTCAGGAGGGCAAGTACCGCGTTTACCAGAACCAGTACACGAGCAACCCGCTTGCCCTCAACAAGCACCAGCACCGCGAGGAGAACGACAAGCGGCGCCACCTCGCGCACAAGTTCAGCCTCGCCGGTGCCAGCTCGGGCGCGGGACTCGTTGCCACCACAGGTGAGCCCTTGGGACTGGCCCATTAAACGGACGAATGAACGAATAAAACAAATTAACTAATGTATAATTAGTCGGTTAGGCAATGCGGAGGACTCATCCTACCAGAATGACCATTTGTCCAGATATTTTACTGTTGGCGCCCTGTTTCTTATTTTCTCTGATGTTAGAAATTCCCTCTTCCTCCCATGGTTTCTTTTCTCAAGGATGAATAACCTTGCTCAACTCAAACAACGTGTTAAATCTTGTCTGCTGTATTACCATTAGTGCTCCGTGTTGCTGGGTGTTTTGTTTAATAGGCCTTTGTGCCTTGCTCATCAACTGATATAAAACTGGTATAGTTGTAGTTTGAATACAACTTGTATTTATAAAGCACACACGGGCAGGACAAATCCAGTGGAAAGAGATTAATGAAAGGATTGGAATATGTGCTTGATGAGAGAGGATCTGTGATGGAGACAATGGTGCTCTGTTGCATTTAATTAAGTCCTTGAGCCTTACATTGATCAGGAGGATGGTGTCAGTATGGTACATTCAAACCAAATAACATTGCATACTTGTGGTTTTTCATTTTACAGTCAGTAATTTAATTAGTCTATTGGTTCAATTAAAAATATTTTACTTAGAAATGTATAATTAACAACAGAGGGGAAAACTATCGAAATGGCATTTGTGTTGGCCGTTGCATTATGATGTTTTTTTTTCATTTTACCATCAATGATTAATTAGAGCCTATTGGTTAAATTTTTTATATTTTTGTTTGATGTTTACCATTCGGAACAGAGGGCAAAACAGCCGAGGTGGCGTTTGCGTTGGCCATACAGTGAGCGAAAAAGTATTTGATCGCCTGCTGATTTTGTACATTTGCCCACTGACAAAGAAATGATCAGTCTATAATTTTAATGGTAGGTTTATTTGAACAGTGAGAGACAGAATAACAACAAAAAAATCCAGAAAAACACATATCAAAAATGTTATGAATTGATTTGCATTTTAATGAGGGAAAAAATAATTTGACCCTCTCTCAATCAGAAAGATTTCTGGCTCCCAGGTGTCTTTTATACAGGTAACGAGCTGAGATTAGGAGCACACTCTTAAAGGGAGTGCTCCTAATCTCAGCTTGTTACCTGTATAAAAGACACCTGTCCACAGAAGCAATCAATCAGATTCCAAACTCTCCACCATGGCCAAGACCAAAGAGGTCTCCAAGGATGTCAGGGACAAGATTGTAGACCTACACAAGGCTGGAATGGGCTACAAGACCATTGCCAAGCAGCTTGGTAAGAAGGTGACAACAGTTGGTGCGATTATTCGCAAATGGAAGAAACACAAAAGAACTGTCAATCTCCCTTGGCCTGGAGTTGCAATGATCATGAGAACGGTGAGGAATCAGCCCAGAACTACACGGGAGGATATTGTCAATGATCTCAAGGCAGCTGGGACCATAGTCACCAAGAAAACAATTGGTAACACACTACGCCGTGAAGGACTGAAATCCTGCAGCGCCCGCAAGATCCCCCTGCTCAAGAAAGCACATATACATGCCCGTCTGAAGTTTGCCAATGAACATCTGAATGATTCAGAGGACAACTGGGTGAAAGTGTTGTGGTCAGATGAGACCAAAATGGAGTTCTTTGGCATCAACTCAACTCGCCGTGTTTGGAGGAGGAGGAATGCTGCCTATGACCCCAAGAACACCATCCCCACCGTCAAACATGGAGGTGGAACACGTAGGCTTTCGCGACCAAAATTATTCATAATAAAGGTTTTTGGGTTAGATCGCGTTTATTTATAAATGTATCGTAACCCTCCACCACCCGACACGGCCAATCAGCAAAAAAAGTGTCACGTTGACAAAAGACAAATAATTCACTACTTTAGCCCACCGGTGTGTTGAAGAGTGAATCCACATTTACAGTTTGAGTACGACGTTTCGCTGGTAAATACATCCAGCATCATCGGGCAATTCGCCAGAATGGTAAAGCCCTCGCTTGCTCCCGGATTTATATAGAGCAGCAGGGTGACGTCATCACTTAGCTCATATCAGGTGCAGTGATTAGAGGCGGAGGGGGGGGGTATTGCAATTATATAATCGATTAGTAATCAGTCATTGGTTATGATTAGTAATGAGTTGTAGATTAGTAATTCTTTAATCAAAATGTAATGTGTATTATTTAATAATACGCTTCCAGGCCGCACTAAGCCTGTAGCTGTCAGAGCGATTAAAGTGGTGTGTAAAACTAATTATTACTGGCAAAGACTAATTAGAGAATCCATTGAAATTGAGAGGAACAAGAATAACTTTAATCGCTCTGACAGCTACAGGCTTAGTGCGGCCTGGAAGCATATTATTAAATAATACACATTACATTTTGATTAAAGAATTACTGATCTACAACTCATTACTAATCATAACCAATGGCTGATTACTAATCGATTATATAATTACAATACCCCCTCCGCCTCTAATCACTGCACCTGATATGAGTTAAGTGATGACGTCACCCTGCTGCTCTATATAAAACCGGGAGCAAGCGAGGGCTTTACCATTCTGGCGAATTGCCCGATGATGCTGGATGTATTTACCAGCGAAACGTCGTACTCAAACTGTAATTGTGGATTCACTCTTCAACACACCGGTGGGCTAAAGTAGTGAATTATTTGTCTTTTGTCAACGTGACACTTTTTTTTGCTGATTGGCCGTGTCGGGTGGTGGAGGGTTACGACACATTTATAAATAAATGCGATCTAACCCAAAAACCTTTATTATGAATGGAGGTGGAAACATTAAGCTTTGGGGGTGTTTTTCTGCTAAGGGGACAGGACAACTTCATCGTATCAAAGGAACGTTGGACGGGGCCATGTACCGTCAAATCTTGGGTGAGAACCTCCTTCCCTCAGCCAGGGCATTGAAAATGGGTCGTGGATGGGTATTCCAGCATGACTGACCCAAAACACACGGCCAAGGCAACAAAGGAGTGGCTCAAGAAGAAGCGCATTAAGGTCCTGGAGTGGCCTAGCCAGTCTCCAGACCTTAATCCCATAGAAAATCTGTGGAGGGAGCTGAAGGTTCGAGTTGCCAAACGTCAGCCTCAAAACCTTAATGACTTGGAGAAGATCTGCAAAGAGGAGTGGGACAATCCCTCCTGAGATGTGTGCAAACCTGGTGGCCAACTACAAGAAACGTCTGACCTCTGTGATTGCCAACAAGGGTTTTGCCACCAAGTACTAAGTCATGTTTTGCAGAGGGGTCAAATACTTATTTCCCTCATTAAAATGCAAATCAATTCATAACATTTTTGACATGCGTTTTTCTGGATTTTTTTGTTGTTATTCTGTCTCTCACTGTTCAAATAAAGCTGCCATTAAAATTTTAGACTAATCATTTCTTTGTCAGTGGGCAAACGTACAAAATCAGCAGGGGATCAAATACTTTTTTTCCCTCACTGTATACAAGCACACACACGTTAAACTTCAGTAGTTTTAATCAAACACGTCCATAAAATATAACATTCACGTATGCCCTAAATATTTTTAATTCGTGGCGGTATTTGTGCACAGATTGATAACTGAGATTAGAACGTCACACCTGTCATACACGATGGTGCATTACTCCAGTCTGTTGTAACCTGGGGATTAAACCCAGGTTTGTCAGCGCTACCAGGTATTACCTTGACGTGAGGTCTCAATCCCCATTGAGTCACCAAACCACCCACTTGGTATGCATTCAATGTTTAAAAAATGCTTACATATTTGTCAGTTTTGCTTTTAATTTGAATTGTGCTTTTTTGCCATTGCATCAAGAAACTCAGAAATTATCCTGCAGAACTCTTAACAGTGAGCAATGCAACATAACCTTGTATCAGAGAGCTGCCCCAGGAAATTAATATTGATGAACTGTCTGAAGCCATTTAAATATACCTCTTATCCACACCACAGGCGTACCTTTTATATGCCCTGCAAATAGTCCTTCACATTGTCATAAAAGTATAATTTTAATCCTTAAATATGGAATACGCTTCATTGACAAACCAAATCTAATATAATAGGGCTTTTTATGCAGGCAACGGTGAGTGATCTGAGACCATCTGACTACACTCGAGAGGCCAATTTAATCACGGTCGGCTGCCTAGATTTGATACCAGGATCTCTACAGTGCTAAATAGATTCTCTGATAACAATATTATCTCGGAGAGCCACCCGGTGTCATCGTTGCGTTTTATGTTTTGAGTGTCAGAGCTCAAAGCGTGTCGCTCACTTCCCTTTGCTGTGTGCAGGAAGCAACTCTTCAACCTCCTTGCCGGGAGAATTCAAGTGGGGCGGTGCGGTGCACGGGCTGCGCACGCTCAACGTGTCCACACTGCGCCTCACCATTATACAGCTCGAGAACAACGTTCCCGCGCCATTCCTGCACCCAAACTGGGCCGCACACAGGTACCTCTCTGCGACAGTCTGTGGGTGCGCGTGCGTGCATGCGTGCGAGCGTGTGTGTGCTTTGGCGGGAACGGGGGTGCGGTTGCTGGTACAATACGCTATGAGCCTGGCGACTCGAGTTTGATTCTCAGCCACGGCCTTCCTACTCCACCGTAATGGAGTGGCTTGTGCAATGTGTGAACAGCACTGGGGAAACAAAGGTGTCCAGGCGTGGTGCAGATGTCGCACTTTCCCAGGTGTTTTACGTTGTTACCTGCCATTCTGAATGTCGTTTGCGGTGGTCGTTAATTTCCTCTACGTTTGAGTGCCATGTGTTTGCATATATGTTGAATTTCTTTCACACACTACGTCGCCAACTGTGCTTATCTGGGGTGCTTCAAGTACTTTCTTATTGAGTCATTTTATTTTCACTGTCATGAAGAAAATGACATCCTCATCATCCTTATCTTTTTAATCAGCATTGTTAGTAATTTATTATATGTAGTATGCAGCAATGGAAAAATTTAGTTTAAATTGCCAGGCCTTAACAAGCCTGAGATTGCTTATAGACAAGCTAATTCTAACACATTACACACTCATTCAAGGTACACTTCCAGAAAATATTTGTTTTTAAATGTAGTTGTGATTGCATGCTTGTAAGTCTTGCTTATTTTAACGTCAATATAATAAGCCAATAGCCTATTGTAGCAAATTAGCTAATCGTCTTTAAAAAAATCCTGTATGTGCATCACCACTATACAGACGATAGCACATTAAAATCAATCCTTATCGCACAGTGCGTAATAGTACACCCCGTGTGCACCGGTGTATTTGTGTGTGTGTGCGCGCGTGTGCGTAATGTTGGCCACTCATCCCCTCTTGTACCGTTCCGGCCTTCATAGGTGCTCGCTTACAGCACTTGGCCCAGCAGTGTATTAAGGCTATATTCGGGATCTTTGTCTTTTTGTGTGCACGCACGTACAGAAACAACTGGATCAAGGCGGTACAGATGTGCAACAAACCGCGTGAGTTTGCCCTGGCGCTTGCCATCTTGGAGTGTGCCATCAAGCCTGTGGTCATGCTGCCCGTGTGGAAGGAGTCACTGGGACACACGAGGTACGCCGCCCTTGCTCGCACCTGCGTCCTCTTACCTGTGAAGGCTGCGTTCGTCCACTGATGACTGCTTGCGTTCACAGCTTCGTTCCTTGTCACCCATCAGAAAGGAAGATCAATGCAGATCCCTACATTTGGTATTAGTTCGTTTATTTCAGTAAAAAGGCTTTCACGATAATGCTATGTTTCACAGGCGTGTATCACCTGCAGTAGTTTCACAATATGGGGGCCATTGTGCAGTGTGGCTTTACCCAATTAGATAATTATGGAAGTAATTTGTGTATGTTGACGCTTACGTCTACTCAATGCCTACTCTTTTTCAAATAACTTCACGGGATCTTTTTCTTTAATAGGTTCTCACTTAAGCACTTGTTTGAGCAACGTGTCCTTTATAATTGTATGGGATGGAAAATAAGATGATTTTTGATTTTGTGTTCATCATTCTCGTGTGCAGGCTGCGTCGGATGACAGCAGTCGAGAAAGAGGAAAAAGAGAAGTCCCGGAAGAGAGAGAGGCGGCAGGAGGAGGAGGAAGTGATGCAGCAGGCGACATGGGTCAAGTATACTATCCCTATAAAGCACCAGGTAAATCCAACGTTGCCTTCCCTGCAACCCATTATAGCAAAGTGCATATATTCTAATCTGAAACAAGTAATGAAATATATATTTTTCTATCTACGTGACTTTACCGAAATACTCAAAGAGTAAGTAATGAGATAATCACGATTATGTAATGCTTTCCAACACTCGTTTGTTCTTGGAAGGATTTAATTAGCAGTGTGGAAGCCAATGGGTAGCTATCAGGACAAAACTTATTTTCATACAGTGAGGGAAAAAAGTATTTGATCCCCTGCTGATTTTGTACGTTTGCCCACTGACAAAGAAATGATCAGTCTATTATTTTAATGGTAAGTTTATTTGAACAGTGAGAGACAGAATAACAACAAAAACATCCAGAAAAACGCATGTCAAAAATGTTTTAAATTGATTTGCATTTTAATGAGGGAAATAAGTATTTGACCCCCTCTCAATCAGAACGATTTCTGGCTCCCAGGTGTCTTTTATACAGGTAACGAGCTGAGATTAGGAGCACACTCTTAAAGGGAGGGCTCCTAATCTCAGCTTGTTACCTGTATAAAAGGCACCTGTCCACAGAAGCAATCAATCAGATTCCAAACTCTCCACCATGGCCAAGACCAAAGAGCTCCCCAAGGATGTCAGGGACAAGATTGTAGACCTACACAAGGCTGGAATGGGCTACAAGACCATTGCCAAGCAGCTTGGTGAGAAGGTAACAACAGTTGATGCGATTATTCGCAAATGGAAGAAACACAAAAGAACTGTCAATCTCCCTCGGTCTGGGACTCCATGCAAGATCTCACCTCGTGGAGTTGCAATGATCATGAGAACGGTGAGGAATCAGCCCAGAACTACACGGGAGCATCTTGTCAATGATCTCAAGGTAGCTGGGACCATAGTCACCAAGAAAACAATTGGTAACACACTACGCCGTGAATGGCTGAAATCCTGCAGTGCCCGCAAGGTCCCCCTGCTCAAGAAAGCACATACATGCCCGTCTGAAGTTTGCCAGTGAACATCTGAATGCTTCAGAGGACAACTGGGTGAAAGTGTTGGGGTCAGATAAGACCCAAATGGAGCTCTTTGGCATCAACTCAACTCGCCGTGTTTGGAGGAGGAGGAATGCTGCCTATGACCCCAAGAGCACCATCCCCACCGTCAAACATGGAGGTGGAAACATTACACTTTGGGGGTCTTTTTCTGCTGAGGGGACGGGACAACTTCACCGCATCAAAGGGACGATGGACGGGGCCATGTACCGTCAAATCTTGGGTGAGGAACCTCCTTCCCTCAGCCAGAGCATTGAAAATGGGTCGTGGATGGGTATTCCAGCATGACAGTGACCCAAAACACACGGCCAAGGCAACAAAGGAGTGGCTCAAGAAGAAGCTCATTAAGGTCTTGGAGTGGCCTAGCCAGTCTCCAGACCTTAATCCCATAGAAAATCTGTGGAGGGAGCTGAAGGTTGGGGTTGCCAAACGTCAGCCTCGAAACCTTAATTACTTGGAGAAGATCTGCAGAGAGGAGTGGGACAAAATCCCTCCTGAGATGTGTGCAAACCTGGTGGCCAACTACAAGAAACGTCTGACCTCTGTGATTGCCATCAAGGGTTTTGCCACCAAGTACAAAGTCACGTTTTGCAGAGGGGTCAAATACTTATTTCCCTCATTAAAATGCAAATCAATTTATAACATTTTTGACATACGTTTTTCTGGATTTTGTTGTTATTCTGTCTCTCACTGTTCAAATAAACCTACCATTAAAATTATAGACTGATCATTTCTTTGTCAATGGGCAAATGTACAAAATCAGCAGGGGATCAAATACTTTTTTTCTCTCACTGTATTTATAAATAGTCTCTTGTGCTTTTGTTTGTATCTCAAGTTTTTGGTAACGCTTTAATCAATATGGTCGGGTTTCTATAGTATAATTCCCATATAGCACACAGCTGTATAATAAAGTGAAAATGTATATTGGATCATGTTGGAAAGAGTTTATTGTACCCCCCCCTCCCTGTTCCAGACAGACAGATTTTTAAGCTTTCAACCGTAGTTGGAAAGGGTTAAAAGTGAAAGGCGTTGTGAGGTTTGGCTTTGAGTTGGTTTCGCGAATTGTTTTGATCACAGGAACTGGGCACATCAATGTAATTTAGTGGTGCATGTTCTCTATCTGGGTGGGCATATTTAACAGGATGTTCGCACTTCCAATTATTTTTCTGTACACCAGTGATGTTGGTTTTGCTAATGCATAACACTGCATAATGATAGTAGTGTTATTCATATATATTGTACAGCTATTGAGGAGGTCCACGAACAATCCACACTTTCTCTACTCATCTCTGACCGATTATCACGGTTGGCTACATATGGTGCCAAATAAGTTCAAGTTTATACAGTAATCATTTACGATCAATCAATATCGATAATAAACTCCTGATAATAATGCTTATAGCCCACAAAATATTTATTGAACACGGAGTCTCATGACTTTCAGGAGGCTACTACTGTCGGGGTGATTGGAAATTTAGATTTGAGTTTTTTGTTAGGAAAGTAAACAGAGTACCCAGAGAAAATCCTTGCGTACAGGAAGATAACACTCAAAGGTCTGCATAGTGGATTCGCCACTTATCTGCAATGCTCCCATCTAATGTACACCTAGCACAAACCTACGTGATCCACCAACCCTTGCCTTCAAAGTACTGGACTTCAGGTGTATGCCACCACACCCAGCCAAAAAGATTAGGAAATGTGTAAAGTTGCAAATTACTTTGGCTTCAGGGATTGATTTTATGGAGCTCTACTCTCTATGAAAGGAGACAGTCGATTTATGTTTGGAAGTGGCCTCCTCAAACGGTGTGTCATTTGCCGCTCTCACAGGTGTGGAAGCAGAAGGGTGAGGAGTACCGTGTGACGGGCTATGGTGGCTGGATGTGGGTGAGCCGCACTCACGTGGCACGGTTCAACCCGCGTCTGCCCGGCACCACCAACCCCAACTACCGGCAGCAAGCGGAGAGTGAGTAACGCAGGACACGTCGCGAGGCCATGAAAACATCGTCACAAAGCAAGTTCATGGGCGACGCCGTGATGTTTCTCATTTCGTTTTGTGCCATTTTTCCGCACCGTCAGAGTGAATGTAACATAAGCATATTATTTGTTTATTATTCACAATTCATTGTTACGTTCTTGATTCAATGCATGTATGTATGTTCTGCATGAACATCACTTTAGGTCAATAAATAGATGTCACATGACGTGCTTTGAGAAAAAATTGCACCATGCCCCCCTCACCAGGTGCGGTCGCGTCCGCAGAAACACCCATGCGCACAGAGGTTGCGGCTGGGACAAACGCTGGCACAGGGCACAGCGCCGTGGCTCCCGGGAAGGGAGGCCGGGTCACGCGATCCACCAAGGACAGGGTACAGACGCCGACCAATGGGGCTCCCAAGGTTGAGGCGGTGGAGGCCGGGGAGGAGGCAGTGAAGACCGGCACAAAAGATTCAAAGCCTCCCCTGACGGAGGAAAAAACAGACGCCAGTGCACGGCTACAGCCCAATGACAAAGGTGTTTCATTATTTTTATTTTCACAATTATAATGTATAGACCGCCGAGTTGTTTGACTGTACTTCACCACGCTGCTCAGTGCGGGTTGAAGGGAGAGAGCCCATGACTGATTCAGATGTCACTCGCTGTTGACGTTGAGTGTGGCCAGAAATGTTTTTGGTTGCTTTGTTCGTCGCGTAGTTCACAAATCACAGCACAACAAGGCCACCCTTTGTTTTATTATCATTACAAGATATTCACGAATGAACCATGCAGTTAATTGGCATTGCTTGGAGCATGCAACTCAAACTTGGAAGCTGGTAATTTCAGGTTCTGGTTGGGTGATGACTCTGCTTATCCATCAGGGCTTCAATAATTGAATTCCATTTTGGAGGAAATCCTCAGTATTCATCTGGTGGAGCTTCTGACCCCACAATGGGAATGTGGAATTTACACCATTGACTCCTATGCTCTTTTGGTCGGGGAGGGCCACTTTTACTTTCGACTGGAACATCATGGAGTAAACCAAATGTCACTTTACTTGATTCAGGAAGTTTTATTAAATGTTGTATCCTAACAGAGCTAACGTATTTGTACTTTCAACCGTCGTTGGAAAGCGTTGGAAAGGACCTATTGAAACACAGTTTTTAATATAACCTGGCCTCACATGAAAAAAAAATACGAGTAAAAGTGTTTTTGTAATCAATCTTTAGTCCAAGAAACAACATGAATTATAGTGACCAATGCTGTGCATATGGCGGCACTCCTGTGTTGGCAGATGATGCAGATGTGAAGGGATCAGAGACGTCACCTGTCAAGGAAGAACCAATGGAGGTAGATGTTTGCCTTCCAACTGATGAGCCAGAGCAGCAGCAGCAGGTGCCCAAACAGGAGGCATGCGAAGGTACTCAGAGCAACAGCAGTGGAGACGGTAAAGGCACCCAAATGGATGAACAAACACACACCGGCGCAGATGGGAAAAATGAAGAGGCAGACAGAAAAACGGAAGAGAAAGTGGACAACAAAGCAGACAGCAAAGAGGGCAAAGCTGAATCGACTGGTGCCAAAGCAGGAATTGAGTCTGACACTGTGAAATCGGAGTCGGTCGTGCCCACGGAGAGCAACTTGAAACCCAAAGTGGAGCTGCGGGCGGGCAGCGGGGAGAACTTGCTTGGTTCTGAGGGCCGCACGGAGCGCAAGGAGGGCGCCAGCGAGGGGGAAGGAGACGATGCGCCTCTTCCCCCCGTGGACCTGGTGAACGTGAGCGCAGGGTTCCTAGCGCGCACGTGGTATCGGCGGAAAGTCAAGCCGTCGCGGCTCGATGGGTTGCTGGAGCGGCGGCAGAAGCAGTTTGTGTTGGAGGAGCGGCAGCGGCTGCAGATAAAGACCACCGGGCAGCGGCCCACGCAGTCGGCAGCTGTGACGGCAACACCCTGTGTCGGGGGCACCGCAGCCATTGTTGCTACCGCTGCGCCCACCACCACAGCTGCATTAACCACCACAACTCCGGCCACCACCGTTACCACCGCAGCCGTCGCGTCTCTTCCGACATCCATCATGACTTCAGCGGCTGCTACTACAGCTTCCTCTGCTGTCACTACAGCTACAACTGCTGCTACCACAACTCCAGCAACCACCACCACCACAGTGTCAGCTGGCAGTGATGTTGCTGTGGCATCTTCAGAATCAACACCAAATACAGTAACACAGCAACAATCCAGCAGCGATGAAAACAAAGATCCAGCCTTGCCAGCACCATCGCAGGCTGCCCCAAATTCCGCTGCTGCAAATGTGAACGTGAACGATCACAGGACTGATCTTAAGTTGGATGGCACAGTGGTCAAAGACAGTGCGATGCAGGTGGCACAGACTGAGGGGCCAACCCCGGTCTCTACAAGTGATGAGCCACCTTTGTCAGGAGAGGGAGCTCTCCCAAAAATTTCAAACGCCATGGAGAAGGACACAGGGGAGAAGGCTTGTGTGGAACAGAAGGAGGATCCAGGCTCTCAGCTTGACAGGACTGAACGCAGCAATCCATCTACGAAACAAGCAGATGCCCCCGGAGCCGACCACAAAGAGATCACACTTCCGGGTGATGCCTGCTCCGCTGGAGACGCGAGCTCAGAGAAGGCAGCACCGCCAGCCGAAAATGAGAAGCGCGTGGAGGCAGTGAATGCCGTGCCATCCTCGCTCGCAGTGAAGGACAAGAAGAGTGAGGTGATGAACGGCACCAAAGCACCAGCAGATGCCATCACGACGACCGGCGATGGTATAGGCACTGGGAAACCTGCAGGGGGTGGTGCTCTGGTTACGAAAGCTGGCAAGGAGAACGGGCAGCAGCTGGTGGTGAATGGGGACGTGGCAGGGGAAGACAGCGATGATGGGGAGGAAGGGCCTTTGGCGAAGCGGGCGGCAAAGCACTTGCCTGTGACGTTGGGAAAAACGCAGCCCGAGATGCCCATCGCCCCTCCTGCCACCGACAAATCGGCGCCTCTTAACCACGTGAGTGCATGTAACAGCAATAACGGTAGTAAGGATGTGGTGTCGTCCAATTCTGATGATGGAAAGATGGAGGTCGACTTGATGGACGGGAGCATCCGTGAGGTCGGGAAGGCCGACGGTAATGCCACGGCTGCGCTGGCAGTCACCACCATGACGACCGTTACCACCACGACCACCGTCATGATGGAGTCCCGCACGACCACCACCACCACCATGGTGGATGGCGCAGTCGCGCCCGCCGGCAACGGAGCGTCCCCCCCACCGGTGACCACCTCCACGGCCACAAGTGCTGTTGTGTCCACGCTGAAAACGCTGAGCAGTGCCACCGAGGCGAAAATAACCACCGGTGCTGCGCTTACGGTGGCGACGACCACAACTACTTCGTCGTCCGTCATGACGACGAGCGTGCTGAGCACGGCGTTGGTGACGGCGTCACCCGACCACTCGACGCGCGACCGCGTGAAGCTGCAGCGGTTCGCGAGGCCGCGCAAGGCGCGTTCCACCACGGCGCTGCCGTCCTACCGCAAGTTTGTGACGCGCAGCGGGCGCAAGAGCGTGTTCGTGCTGCCCAGCGAGGAGCTGCGCAAGCTGGCGCGCCGCGCCGCCGTGCGCGAGGTACTGGGCTTCAGCTACATGGCAAAGCCCGCCTGGGACGTTTGGCCGTACCCTGCACCCCGGCCCACGTTCGCCATCGCCTGGAGGTGAGCGCGCCTTGTCGCCATGCGACTCTCCAGCGTTTTCGAGTCACAGCTTGCCCCCTGAGAAATGGTTAAAGTTCATGATCAATTGTGGTCAAATGAAGTTAATTAATAGGTATGTTATGATATTCTTATGCACAAGATACGTGCGTCGAATTGCGCGTGTAAGATTTGTTAATTTTACCTAGCGTCATGATTCAAATTGGTGAATTGTTTTTTACCCGCCAATTACTCAACTGGGATTTTACATAGCAATCATCACTCCCTACTTTTTTAAAAATTTGGGCAGGACCCTCCTGAAAATAGTTAAGTCCTTCCTGGGTAAAGAATTGCAATAAATAAAATAATTAGATTCTTTTCCAAAAGTCCAGTGTTATATAAGAACTCGGAGCACTGAACCATTGTAATGTATGCCATGTATGTTTTGTATGTAAATAGTTTAACTGAAAGGATATTGGTGAACATTGATTTGCAGAAGTTATTCTTTTGATGTTTACGATTGATTTGTTTTTAGTTTCTGTGCTGAGATAGTTTTTGTACCCCAGGTCTCACTGTCCCGGCCTCTTGTCTCATTATAAAGTTAATCTCTGTATGTAAACTATGTACCTACTGGTAGTGGGCTTCATACGCTTTCTATTGGCTTTAACATAACACTCTACAGGAGGAAATTTTCTAGCTTCGCCAATGATGGGGTTCTTGTGTTGTTATGTATATGACATGACACTTAAATAATCTGAGAACATTCTGCCTACCTAGTTATGTGGACGAAACCATTTAATCTTTGTCCGGTAATATTTGTCGACACAACTCCCAACAATTTGGTTTTCAGAAATTTCTGTTCATAAGCATAGACTCGGCTACATTTGTACCAAATGTAATCTTGGCCTTCTGGCAACATTTATTAGAATTTACATCCATCACTTAGTCACGATTGTGCATTTGGTGACTGAGTAAGTGCTGATGTGCTGGGGTCATTGCCTTTGTGTTGTATATGCTGGGCAGGTACCGGCTGCAGACGGTGCGGTCTCTCGCAGCTGCCAGCCTCATGCTACGGCTACTGTGGGCATGCCTGCGCTGGGATGAGATGCTGGTCAAGCCGTCTGGTTCCTCCACACGCACCGGTACACCTCCCCCCCACTCTATTACGAATGCCCCACATGTCTGCATTGTTTTTTTTTCTACTTTATTCAAATAGACGTAGTGAGATAATGCTACAGGTAGCGATAAATGAGGAGGTCATTACCCATAACCTTCTGATCAGGTGTTCCAGATTTGAAAGTTGAAGTTTTGGCTTCCACACTGAAACTCCTGCTGCATATACAGTGATATCAGAATCGTTTTAAAATCTATTTGCCTGGAGCTGTGGGTGTTATTCACTTGTACTGGAGTGTTTTCCCCAGGTACTCTCGTTTCCTCCCACAAACCAAACACTTAACTCAAAAAGAATTGGCCAAGCATGTCATTTCAGCACGAGCCCGCTATAAAACAGTCCTCAGAGTAGGAGGCTTTCCATTTTTCGCGTTGTTTTTATTGTGGTACAGATGTTTGTGTTAGTAACCCTTACACCCCCCTCCCTTCCGGGCCTTGCCCAAACAATACTGCAGAAACAACCGACACGGAGATCACGACGACGGAGATCATCAAGCGGCGTGACGTGGGAATGTTTGGTCTTCGCTCCGAGTACTGCATCCGCAAGATCATCTGCCCCATCGATGTCCCCGAGACCACCAAGGGTGAGGCATCCACTCAACGCTTGCCCAGCGCGCACGTCTCACGGTTCATCCACCCACAACCTTCGCAAGTGGACCATTGAAAGAGAGCCCAGGCATGCGGTTGCGGAAGCATCGACCTGACCATCGACTAGAAAATAGTGAAACCATGTGAATTGCCAAAATGCAATGGAGGCATTGAAGCAATCCACCACAGATCACCTGAAGCAATGTCTTGGCTCTCTACTAAGCTGTATATATATACACGTTTTAATTCATCCACCTATTCGCCACCCCGTACTCTGACTCTAGTGCCTTGGGGTGTGCACGTGGTCATCCCATGTGCGTGTTTTATGTGTGCACCTGCGTGCTCATAAGACGATCGGCACTCTCTTGCTCATGCGTGTTCATTCAAGAGCTATGATTTTATGACCATACTGCAAACTCTTGACACGTTTTTAGTTCATGGCCATGCAATTAAATAACAGCCGCATCAGAAGCAGCTATGAGTTTTGCCCGAGCTTAACTTAGGTTGTAATGGATAAACTGACGTTGATTGGCACCACGTGCAAGTGTGTTTGTGTGAGTGTGAGAGTGTGCTTTTGTGCGCATCCATACATGATAATCCTTTTGCAATTGTGCATTTGCTGGGCCTGCTCTTAGCTTTAATAGATGCCCGCTAATAGCACTGTACTCAACTGTATAAAGGAGGCAATGAGGTGGGGTCTTTAGCAATGTATTTGTGCGCACACTTGTCTTTGCACACAACAGAGACGCCCACTCCCCAGCGCAAAGGACTGCGCTCAAGTGCCCTGAGGCCCAAGAAGCCTGAGGGACCGAGGCAAACTGAGCCAGTTGTCATGGAGACGTGGCTGGCTGAGGAGGAGCTTGAACTCTGGGAGATCAGGGCCTTTTCTGAGAGGTAGCCTGTTGATTCCCAAACGCACACACCTGTCGCCCTGTGTGTTATGAGTGCTTGCCCCTTTTCTGTATGTGTGTACTTATGTGTGTTTGTGCATTTTACTTGTATCCGTGTATCTATACATATTACGCTTGAGGAGTGGTTGCATAATAATATGCACAATGCAGTATGATTCCAGAAGCTGGGTTTGATTTCTGGCCAGATACAGCACCATTATCAATTGGAAACTGAATCTGGTCTGGACCTCTCCTCTTTCAAGTCGGCATAAATTGAGTCCGTGATGTCACTTCATAAATAGCACTGGATAGAGATAGGTGGCCAGTCGTACGTAATGCTGTCTTCATCATCCCCTCATATGCCACGTCGCCTACAAGAGAGTGTGTTGTGTCTGTGTGCTTTCTTGTTTGCCTCGTCCCCCTCCCCAACCCGCTGTGACAGGGTTGAGAAGGAGAAAGCGGCTGCCCTGGAGCAGCATGCCAAGGCAGCCGAACACAAAAAGAACGAAGAGTTCAAAGCACAGATGGAGGTACAGCTGAAGCAGCAGAGGCTCGCCGCACAGCAGGTAGAATGCGCACCAACAACAACAACCAGCAGCAGCAGCCCTGCGGAAAGATGTTGTTATGCAAGATACACAAGGACATTTGTTACGTTCGTTTTGGGATATCCCAGAAATTAAAACTAGGTGGCAAATGCTGGCTTTCATGATAAATGTGAACAAACTGTTCAAGTAGCCATGACTGATATATTAAAATCGCGTGCATTCCGTCTGGTCAAAATAACTTAGGACCGTGCTGCTTCCCGATCGTTAAATTTGTCTGATTAGTCACCAATAATTTGTAATTAATGAAGTGTTTGTGCTTTGCATTGAGCTCTGTGTAACTCGTGTGTTCCGCTTGTTATAATAACACGATAAGTACAAACAATCTTAAAGCGCACTCGCTCCCGACATGAATATTTGAAAATGCAACTTGCCAATTCAATTTGAGCTTCTGTTCTGCAATCTGTTGTGCCTCAACGTATGAAGTCGCCCGCGCCAGTGCAACCGAGTTCATTAATGCGCGCCTGTTTTAATTCCACCTCTCTCACAGAAGCGGCTCAGCGCGGGCGAGCAGTTGAAGGGAACGACCGTGACGCTCACGACGTGCGGCACGTCCAGCACACCCGGCACAACCACACAGACGGTGGTCGTCGGCTCGGTGGGCGGCCAAACCATCGGTCCTGGTACCAAGCTGCTCATCAGCAAAGTCGGTGGCTCTCCAGTCAGCGGAGGGAGCACGCCCGTCACCTTCCAGACCGGACGAAACTTCCAGCAGAGCTTTGCCACCTGGATCGGCAAGGCGGGCACGGGGCAGACCGGTAATGCAGCACTGTGTTCTATTCTATTTGATTTTGTGTTCATAAAGTGCCTTTCACCAAGATGTTTAACGATGCTTGCTGACTACAGTACAAATGGCAAAAGAAAGGATGGGGATCAGGTAGTAACTAGGGTAGAGGGAGCGAGGTGGAGGCTGCGGCGGTGGTGGCATTAAGGGCGTCAGGTGGTTTGGGGTAGCGGAAGGAGAAGGGAAAATGCAAGAAAACATATATAGGACCTTAGGGCAGTGCGAACTGATGAAAGCGAGGCGGAGAGTTGGATGTGGAGAGGGAGTTTGTTCCAGTGTCAGGGGCAAGCAGAGAGAAGGAGCGAAAGCGAGATAGGGCACAGAGTGGAGGAGGGATACCAAGAAGATAGGCAGCTTGTGACCGGAGTGGGCATGATGGGACATATCAGGAAATAAGAGAAGACAGGTAGGGGGGGGGGGGGTAGTCCATGCAAAGCTTTGAAAACTAAGCCGAGTAATGTTAAGAGGCAGCGTTGATAGGAAACCAGTGAAGTTGTTGAAGGAGAGGGGAGCCATGAGTGGTGAATGGGAGGTTAAAGACAGTGCGTGCAGCCGAGTTTTTAATTTGTTGTAGAGGGGCACGGGCGTATGTGTAGGAGTTAGTGTGTGTCGGGGTTGATGGAGAGCGGTAACGTAGCATTTAGCTCGCTGCGCTACGAACCCGGCGACACGAGTTTGATTCCCGCTCACGCGCAACACCAGTGACGATTATCTGAACCGGTCCTGGGCCTCCCCTAGTTTGACTCAACCTCAAATAAGTACCTGGTGCGGTGTGTAAAGAGTACTGGGAGACAAAGTGGCCAGGCTTGGTGCTGGTCAACCATCCATTTCCTTATGTGCTTTAACAGCAATCTTTTTAAAGCTCTTTTGGGAATCTTTCTGTAGATAGTGGTGGAGCGGACTCCTAGTGATTCACACGAGTGTGCTACGAAACCAGGCACCCGAGTTATTTTCCTGGCCAGGGCTAACATCAATGGCGACTATCTAAACCGGTCCAGGGCATCTTTTGGGTTGACTCAGCTTGAGTGGAATATCTTTTTCGTTGCCAATGCCACAGTTCACAAGAATTTTGTGCGCCATTCCCCAGTGTTCATAGGTTGTTTTTTTCTACAACAATCTCACACAACTGCACTTTTGGCCTAATTGCTGCTTTGCTATTTGCAATCCTGTCCAGTGTGCAAGCCTTCATAGAAAGGTAGTTGCGTGTTCAAGGACATAATATTAATTCATACATGTGTGATATTTTGTGCATATGGTCATTTCCCCTGTAATGGAATTAAAGCATAAACCACAGAACCTGATATTCATAACATTTTATAACTTCTGAATGTTCTTGCACCACACAGTATGAAACATAGAAGTGCCCATTTAATTGCTGTGTCTCAGTAATTTCATTGGTCTGGAATGTTTTGGATGATTTATTTCAATTTTTTCAAGGGTGGACCGTATCTTTTGGAATGTATTCCAGTATGATGTGCATGTGAGGTGGCTGCAGCCTGGCACTGTGGGTCAGATTGTTGAATTCCTGCAGCTATGGGTCATTTTCTTGTGATTTTCCAAAGGGCCATCTGCTGCAAAATTAACAATAAATACTGCGGGACATTAATGGCAAGAGTTTGATAATGTGTTCCAGCGTCATAGCCTCTTAATTTTACAACAATGACTAATATTGTCCGTCATTGTCACGCTTTTTACATTGTTGTGGTGGGTACTGTGCCGGCTTTGATGAGCACTGGTCAACAGCATGAACTTAGAGGACAGTGTTACTGCATAGGTTTTTCGCGGTTGTGCTTTATAGCTCTGCGACGTGTTCTCTGGCTGCGCGCGCCGCGTGTCGTTCAGCATGCGGTGCAAAGTTTCGCTCTTCGTTCCTAAAGAAGCTCCCAGCACGTGCAGAGCAACTTCAGGCGTAAAACCGAACAACACGCGGTGCATCGCAAAGCCACTTTGGAGAGCTAACCTGATGGGCCGTTGTGCACTTGTGCTTGTTCAGTGGTGAGCTCAGCGGGCGGCACACCTGTAAGCGGCACACAGACAATCCAGATCTCGAGCTCCTCTCTGGGCATGACTAAGTTGCCTCTTCCGGCGAATAGCAAGATTGTCACGCTTAATGTGCCCACGTCCCAACCCGGTGAGTGGCGTGTGTGTTGATTTGTTTGCGTTGACGTGCATCTTTCTTGTCGTCATCTTTGGTGCCTGCGTCCTTGGTAGTCATCAGATTAACTTACTGCGTGTGCTCTCGCTATGCTCCAATTAGCACGGTTGACTACGTACGGTGCGAAAGAAGTTCAACATGCATGCTGAAAAGAGCAACACTAAAATTGAGAACATTGCTCATTGTAGATCTCACATGGTCGCGTACCCTCCCACGATTATCACTTTTCTTTTCTGTATGAGCCAAATTGGCTTACACATATATATGTATTGCACATAGCAAAAACAACTTCAATCATCCTTTAAGAGTAACAGCAACCAACCCATGTTAGCCATCACGAATGCCACTTAATTATCCAGGAAAGCTTCACGGAGCCTCAAGACACTTTCAGAATGGTGCTATATTAAAATGTTTGGCTGATTGCATGTGGGAATAGTACCCAGAGCAGTTGCACAGTGGTTAGCGTGCTGCGCTATGAACCCAATGACCCGAGTTTAATTCCTGCTCACGACCAATACCAGTGATGATTATCTGAACTGGTCCTAGGCCTCTTCTAGGTCGACTCGGCCTCAAATGAGTACCTGGCGTGGTGTATAAACATCGCCACTAGGGAGAAAAATTCGGTCGGATGTGGCGCTGGCCACCCACCCCCTCGTGTGCCTTGCTGGCCTTCATAGATGCTTGCGAACAGCACTTGCCCAAAAGTCTGTTGAGGCTACACAGGGGGATCTTTGTCTTTGTAGTACCCAGATGAATAATGAGAGGATAACACTCAGAGGTTTTTGCAATTTATGGAACCTGTTCGCTGCCCTGTCACCCCTTGACCGATTTTTGTTATGGAGAGGGGTTGGGAGTTTTATAATTCTACATGAACCACCAGTCTTGCCTCCAATCCACTCAATTACATGCGTGTGCTACCATCTTTCATTGCCTTGCACACACGTACATAAGAATCTTAGTTCACGCAAGATATTTCACTTGTCAGTACCACCAGTGGCGGCAGTGCTTAATGGTGCCAATCACTTTATATTGCCAATAAAAGTGAGTGATGCCATCACCTTCCTCAATGAGCAAGTTGCCAAATATTTCACTTTTATTGACCATATAAATAAATCGGGAGTCAGGAAAGTTGTGCCACCTCATGTTATATTCATTTCTACTCGGGCCCCATGTACCATGTCGTTTGGGGTCTGGGGCAAAGCGTCAGTACTGGAGCAAGTGCTTATGATTGCCCGAATGACGTATGAAGAAAAAGGGAGCATGCATCTTGCGTTAGAGACGTTCTGGGCCAGTTTTTTTGTGTTTCCCCAGTGAAATGTCGATCGGTTCAGAACCTTTCCACTGCTGTAAGCCACGACTCATCGCGAGCGTGTCTGTGGGTGTTTGCAGGTGTCATACACCAGAAGGTGCTGAGCATCCTGCCCGCTTCGGGCACGACCGGGCAACAGACGTTTGCAACATACCAGCCGCGCACCGCCACCATCACCTTCCGGCAGAGCATGCCGGGGTCTGGCACCACACAGCAGGTATTGCCGTGCCACCGAACTGCGACTGCGTTTGTTTTCGTTGCGGTGATGCTATGTTTCCATGACCGCTATCTTTAACAAGTGTCAACATTTTCTTTCCTTAAGTTATGCTATCCCAAGATAAAATAGGCTTTTTTTCTTTATTTTCCATTCAGTGTTTTTCTTTTGAAACAAAAACACACGCCTGAAAAGTAGACCTTGGCCAGAAATGTGAGGATTGCACGTGTGCCTTTCTCATTGAACCCCGAAATCTGGGCTGAGCCCACTTGTCGTTTTTTTTGTTTTGCGAATCGAGCAAGCTCATTTCCCATTGACTGCAGAAACGCACAATGAGTGCCTTCCCAGGTTCTGAATTCAGGCTTATCCAGAAACAAGTGGGAGTGCAGGCAGTACCGTCTGGAAAATGTGTAGACAGAGACCTTTATTCTAAACTTGGTGAGTTTCAATTGAGACTAAAAAGTGTGTTTTAGAATACATAATTGAAATCGCTCCAGCACGTAAAGCACCTCTTTCAATAACGCTGCATTGACGCTGGACTTGGTAGTACTCGGCTTGCAGAGGTTTTATGGGTTTGGTGGTGCATGCAATGCTAGTGCTGGCTCATTTTTTCGATTGGACTTTGCTCGTGTTTGTCATTGATGAATGAGTTAATTTTAGTGTTGGAAGGAGTCTTACGTTTTCTCACTCTGGTGCCATCCCATTCGAGAAGGGAGGTGGGATAAGTGCTGTGAAATGGAGGTTTCCGCGAGGTTAAATTGTTCCTCCGTGAAGCCTGCTCCCTGGTGGCATTTAAAAAAACACATAAGATAACCATAAAAGTTGCGGTTAAAGGCAATGACCGAACGATAGCTTTGGAGGAAACGGTGGAGGGTGACCGAATGGAAGATGAGATTGACTTAATCAGTTCACTTGCTGAAGTCAGGTGATAGATCAGCCAGAGTTTCACCAACATGGGCAATGCAAGCCTTTGCACTACAGTGGATAAACAATGGTTCTGTCTACTGAGCACATGGTCCCACTAGTGTAGCTAAAATGAATGTTACTAAGAGCTGGCCAGGTGGCTTCGGGATCAGAGCACGGAGCCGGCACTTATGATTTTGGGTTCGAAGTTTGGTTTCAACCACCTGTGATTCAGCTGGGTTCTCAAGGCTAGCAAGTAGATGGTCTCAGTCTGGTCAACAATGGCTACACAGTGGATCAAACATGCTTGATTAATTTAGTATTTGTTACAAATGTGTGTTTAACTGCCATGTGATGAATATTTATCTGCATGCAGTGCATATGGGGAAGAGTGCGTGGATAAGGGTTAACTTAAATGGATATCAAAAGTAGTTCTGCGATCTCTCCTTCGAATATGGGGTATGCATGAGGTTATGCACTTCGGTGCATGAATCCCAATGGATGCATTAATGGAAGTCATCTGTTGGCATCCTATGGGGAGACTCGTCCTTTCCATGGGAATATGTAATTTCTACTACTAGCTGAATGGAGGTGAGTGCCACCATCCAACATATACACTTGAGATGGATGTCTGTAGGTTATTTTATGATGAGCATACTTAATTTTAGGGCTTCCCTTTAATGAATTAAACGTAACTTTGTGCAAATCTAGAGCTAGATTCACACGTGGGAAATGTTAATTTTCATCAAATTTTAGCATACACATCCCAGTTTCTTGTATTTATGAGAGGGCAAATCTCCGCACCCTTGTATTTCAGTTTTGTCAATGTGAATCTGGTCCCTTCAGGTTATACTCGATCATCATCATGATCGTCGTTAGATGTAACAATTTGTCCATCCCTTGATTAAATTACTTAATAATATTCAGTCACATTGCAATTATGATTGTTTACATTGTTGTAAATAGTGTGTCTCGTGGCTGCAGCGGTCACGTGAAACCAATTATACAACTTATACAAATTACAAATAATCCATTCTCATGCACATGGTTAGATGTGTGTTTTGTGAGCATAAATATGGAACTTTGTTTGATGAATGCATCGCTACGTAAATCATCTGCCATTGTCTATCCTTCAGTGGGTGCCTTCTCATTTAATTTGCATCTAAAAAATCCGTATAGTGCCCAAACATGGCTGTGTATAATTTTCTGACCATTCGTGCTCGTGTCTTTGTCTTTGTGGTGTCAGTTGATCACGTCGGCAGGTGGCACGACCACCATCCGACCTGGGGTGACCCTCATTAGAGGCGCTTTGCAGCAGACGGGCACGACACTGGGCAAGACCGTGATGCGCACACCTCTGATTGTGCAGCAAGGTATACTCCCTCTGAGTAGGTGGCTCTTTTACTGTCAATCACCTTGCTCTCTCTCTCCTGCTCACTCGCTCGCTCTCGGCTTCATTTCCTGGCTACTGGTCGCATCGGCCTTTGTTTACTTAGACATGCACGCTTGCGTATGTCAATGCACTTTGTATAATTTCCAAGTTGATTGATGGGGAATGCACATGTGTTTCTGTACCTTTTCTACAAGACAATTGCATTTATTCTGTCTGCTCTCAATAAGAGCCACTGCACAATATATTGGCCTAATTTATATATTTTTATTCATGTCAAAGAAAAATTGTCTTCATGCTCAGATGAGCAGTAAGGCAGTACTCACCTCAATTTGAGACATTGTTGTTAATGCTATATTCCTGTGGTTTAATCTATATTATCCATAACAGCGCCATTGTTAAGTTTCCACTAAGTGTTACTCATTTTCCACACTCTTGTGGCAATGTGGACCAAGTCAGCCTGACCCAGGATTGAAAATCACGTGTTTGTTTTTGTGATTTCACCACACTGCCATAGGAAGACTAATCATTAAACAATGTATGCGATTGTTGCTTGAAAATTGTCGAAAACAAACATAATTATTGTAGCTTGGGGTGGAGTATTGGCGCAGTGGTCCACGCACTGCACGATGACTCCAAACACTTGAGTTTTATTCCTGGCTTGGCTAACATCAATGGTGACTGATATCTGAACCGGCCGTGGGCACACCCCTTCAACCTATATTGACCAGTGTGCTGAAGTATCGTCAAACAATCCCCACAACCTACTTATCATGGTGAGATGGTTATCCGACAGTGGATTTATCAAAGGCTGCAATTGTTATTATTTCTTGTAATTTACTCAAGTTTATAATATAACTTTTTAACAACAGTAATTTAGATACAATTATAGTAATTGACTGTTCACTTTGACCAGTAAATTAAGCCGACATTTTATTGATGGTGCATGTCATGTTTTATCCATCTTGCAGTTGTTACCCTCCCTATGTCTGATCGTCGCTCTGTTGGGGTCATCAAATGTTATGACCATTTTTCAAACTTTTCACTCGTTAGGTTTGGACAGGTGGCATTTGTCTCACACCCCCTTCCTACTGTGTGCGATCGTGTCTAAGTAATTTTAATTCAGCAGTAATACTGCTGTGGCTGGATTGAAGCTCAACACGCGGTGGCTAACCCCATTTAATGCCTGCGGCCTGATTTTTTTACGTGCCTTGTTTCTCTACTCAGTGAGTGTTTGCAGACGTGAGGAGCTTACTGACTTAAATGCATCGCATTTATACGAAGATGGAAGTTGAACTTTGAACTTCAATTTAAATATTTGTTTAAATGGGGGGGGGGGGGTGGAAACATCACAAATTCCACAACAAAAACCGACATCAATGCCTTTATTTTCTACGAAGGATATTTTTGCCACGAAAATCGCATCAGTGTGAAACTGCAGTGGTGACCTCTATTCCCAGTTTGCGTTCACTCGATGCCTAGGTTATTTGACTTACAAAAATTGCAGGCGTTGAACTTGGGTCTCGTACTTCTGTATATGTTACTCTTAAAAAGGCTACAGCAGTTGAAGGGTTAAAATGTCATCAATCTGAATGCCACATTAGGCCTCATCTTTATCACCCACAATGAGTGATTTAGAGCAAATGCCACTACCTCAATCCTGTAATCACCTTTCTCCAGGATATATCTTTCTGGGAATTACAACTTTCATTTACAGTGCTCAGTCCAACAGGATACCATATCCCAAACAAATGATAACTCCCATGGTAATTACACTTTTAATGGCATGGTATTTCCAGGGTTGTTACATTTTACGAGAAAATCAAATGTTTAATTTACATTAGTTCTCAATGGCTTTGATTACACTGAGGGATGGGAATGCAATCCAATGGCGTGTTTGTATCTCATTGACATTAGCCATGTGGCCATGTAAACATCAAAAGAGTATCTGGCTCCATGAGCATTATAAGTTCTAAGGTGTTGCAGTTACTTCAAAAAATAATTTCCCACAAGCACTGGAATATCAGTGCCTCTGTTAGCCAACTGTGTGATTTTAGGTTTTGATGCATAATCAGAAGTTCAAATGCTGGTCATGCATCAATGCAGCTTAACTTTTTAGGATCAAAACAATAAGTACCGTGGCCTCTTCCACTCTGTGAAAAATATACAGCGGTTGTCCCAGAGCTGCCAACAGCAAAGAGTGCCACCCCCTCCTTTTGAGCTGGGTCACAAATTGGCTTTTGAGGTGGCCGTTAATGATGCCTGAATCTGTGAAAAAGCAAGACACCAACGAGGTGAAGGTGCAAGCATTCACTCGTGTTCCCTCATTCTGTCAATCGTGGCTAAAGGCCAAACCCAGCAGGTCGTCACGCAGATCATCCGCGGCCAGCCAGTCTCCACTGCCATCTCCACACCGGGCAGCTCAGGCCTCCACAAGGTCCTGTCTACTGCGGCGGCGGCAGCAGCTGGGGCCTCCACGCCCGGCACACCCGTGGCCTCTTCCACAGCCTCTCCCACCACCACCACGCAGGCCATCCAGCCTCGCCTGCCCCAGTCAGTGGTGGGCACACCCGTTGCCCGTCCACCGCATAGCCAGGTGCGGCTGACGGCCGCGCAGATCTCGCAGCTCACGCAGGGACAGGTGAGCGGCGCTCGGGATGATTGTCGGGGTTGTGCAGGCGACATCAGCAACTGGCACTTCCCACACACCTGCTCCTACTTAAATCGTTATCGGCTGAGTCAAGTTGAATTTTAAATTAGGCCATATGTGTGATGGCTCAACACCAAGACTGGAAAAATGGAAGTTCTGGAGAAATAAAATCCAGAAAATGTAACAAGGCAGTCACGCAAGTTGGTTTGGGACAGCCAGAATACAGATTTTATGCACAATCTTTCTGGTTTTTAAGGTTGCATTTATAATTAATAACCTGGACAAACTGGCTTGAATTGTGGTTGAACATCAACAATTTTTCAATTATTTGAATAAACAATATTGTCTTTTGAATAACTCAAATTATATTCAAGTCAATCATCCAAATGAGCCTTCTGAATTAATGCTTTCCAGCATGTTTACGTATGCAATGAAACATATGCTTTCATATTTATATATATTTTTTATCATAAACACACTACATAGTGCATAATTAATGATTGTGTGCATTATTATAAATGAGCATTCCACTTGAGAATATGTTTATTGCATAAGGCAACTTGAGTGAAAGTGTTGCCTAGCTTCCGATATATATACATGTTAAATAAGAAAACATCTTCAATAAAATGATTTTATACAATCAGTTACTGGTTTAATCCCAGGTTGCTGTCCTAATTGAAATCCATTAAGTAAGTCTTGACTCTTGCCTTTCATATGACATTAGACCTGAGAGCCACACAGGCTCATTCTATACTATAATGAGCCAATGAATGTCTGTGTGTCCCGCGTGTGACGTCACTCCATGTCGACCAGCCCCCCTCATTAATAATCGTGAACAGGTGACGTCCTCCAAATGTACACCCACCCACCCACCATTATTAATTCACACACATTGGGGGGGACGAGGCGCCTCCTCCCTCCTCCTCGGCGTTAACTGACAACTCCCTACAGAGACAGAACCCATCTTCTTGGTTCTTTCGGTAAAGTCACGTAGAATGAGAATAAAACAATAAAACAAAATAAAACAATAAAATTCTCACGACGTTTCGGCCACAACACATTTTATATTGTTTTATTCTCATTCTACGTGACTTTACCGAAAGAACCAAGAAGATGAATCCTTGCAGTCACGAAAGCTTTAAATCGAAAAAAGACAGAACCCTCGCGTCACGCGATCTCCGTAACGCTATTGAGACGTAGAAGTAAAAAGGACGTCGTGATGAACAAGGGATTATAACCTTTAAATGAAATAAGTCTGTGTCACCGCGGCCTTTACAAATTGCGCACGAATGGATGCAATGAATATATCACGTCGCGGTCTGCTTTTCGCTTGCAAGTTTCAGATTTACTGCAATACACCCGTCCTTGGATGGGAAAAAGGCTAGTTGATGCAATAATGTCCCTTTACAGGATAGAAAATATAAATAAAATTTGTGTTGGGATGTCTGGTGACAAATTGATTAGTCTCCACCTTTTTCCAATTTCATTGACTCATCTTTTATTCCAGGCCATATGCACTATTAGTGATGTTAAGTGAACCTGTTATGGGCCGCTATTAGGTCAACTCGACTTCCAAAATTACAAGCATTTGGTACTATCATTAACAATGGGAGACAGGCAGCCAGGCATTGTTGGCTGTTCGCCAATGCACCACAATTGTTATGCCGTTTCAGCATTCATAGGCACTTGTTCATATTGCTAGTCCCAGCAGCCCACAAACTAAATAGCAGGGTGGAATTATATTGGTATGAGCAGTCAAGCCGCGTAACATGTGTAAAGTGGCCACCTGCGTTCTAAGGTTCTCTCACTGACTATGCTTGTGCGAGCAAGTCTATTCAGATACATTGCTGGGGTGTGATTTTCTCCATGTGTGTTTCAGAGTGGTGGGCAGGGCCTGCGAGTGGTGGTTCAGGGGCAAGGCCAGACCCAAGGGCAGCTGCAGCTTATCCCTCGAGGGGTGGTGCTGATACCAGGCCCAGGGCAGCAGCTCATGCAGGCGGCCATGCCTGATGGCTCCATCCAGAGGTTTCTCTTCACGCCCGCGCAGAATCTTGGTGAGTCACAGCCCTCCGTCTGTCTGCGTGTCCGAAAAAAATATAAGGGACCACGTTAGCATACATGTGGAAACTTTTTCTGAGAATTTTCGCGAATTACGCAAGTAGCAATTCATCAAGTCCATTCTTATTCTTATACGGCACTGATAAGGCCGAGCGGTAGCACTTTTGCCGCTTCTGAGTGCTCTCAACTTGTACATAGTGTGGCATTTTTTTCAAGCACAATGAATGAAAATATTAATTCACCATTTGTTCAATTTCCAAATCAGAACACTCCTAAAATGAGAAAAGAGACTTGGGAGAGAATATTCAGAGAAATATAGAACTATATTTTATAGAACTTATTATTAAATAAAATATATTTATTTTAGAAATCTAGAACTATATTTTATTATTAGAACAGTTGGGGCTATCTTAGAGGCTTTGCCTTAACTGCGGCCATGGTTATGTGACTGCAGCCGCCACACCAGAGCAGAAGCCACCACCATCCCCGGCCCCAGCGTCAACCCCAACTCCGAGCTCTGCCTTGACCCCAACCTCGGTCTCAACCCCAGCATCATCCCAAACCCCAGCACCAGCCCTGGCTCCGGCTACAGGTTCAGCCGTGACTGCGGCTCTGGTGGCAAAAGTTGCGACGCCAGCAGCGGTCACGAAACCCGCGCTGCCGCATGTGCAGATACAGCAGCCGCCCGTACCAGCACCAGCGACGCAGCCGGCACCGCTGTCTCTGCCGCAGGTAACGCAGAACCTCAATGCACGACGTATTTGTCATCACACTGGCACTTCCAGCTGTTCTTACCATGCCTCACCACACTCGTCGTGCACCGCCCAGTTTAGTAACTTGGAAACCCAGTTTTAATAATGGGTGGCTAAAACCTGGGTGAAAACTCAAGATCTCAGCAGTGAAATATTTGTTAATTGTTGTGTGGGGGGCTGCACCCCTGTCTATGCTGCCTGCATGCCGCACCCCAGACTCAGCTGCACGTGTCTCAGCCGCAGCTGGCAGCACAGCCCCAGACGCAGCCGGTGCAGACACCACCGCCGCCGCCGCAGCAGCAGCAGCAGCAGCAGCCACAGCTGTTGGCCACGGCCGCTACGGCAGCCGTCGGTACGACAACTGCGAGCGCCGTACAAGCGCCGGCGCAGGTGGAGGCGCGGCTGCAGGCGCAGGTGGAGGCGCGGCTGCAGGCGCAGACGCCAGCTGTGCAGGCGACGACGCAGATCCAGGCGGTGGCGCAGGTGCAGGCGGCCACGGCGGCACCGGCGGCGGTGGCTGTGGCGCAGCAGCCACAAGTGCAGACGCAGCTGCAGGGCCAAGCGCCAGCCGTGGTGACGACGCGGCAGGTGCTCCTGCAGTCGCCCCAGAACCTGCAGCTGCACTTCCAGCCGGCGACGGGCACCGTGCAGATCGCGCCAGTCGCCACCACTACGCCGCAGGTGTCTGAGCACATGCAGTCGTACATAACAGCAACAGCCACCGTTGGGGAGCGCTCGTATCAATTGGTGGGCACGAGCCCAGGATCGTTCTCCACTGAGGAGAGTTTTCATAAAGTGGTACTCCTTTTTAGTGGCAAAAGAAAGGACTCCACTGAGTCGGTGACTCTTGACGTAGCACCACCCTGCCGCCACTTTAGGCTCGTGCGGCGGTGCTTATTCGGAAGCGTTCACAAGAGCGTTGCATTTTTGTACACCATTCATACACATTTCTGCGTGGATTGTTCCCTTGCTTGTGATACTTTTAATTATTAAATTGTGTCGTCCATAACGCTGACGGCAAATCCTTGTTTTTTTTTTTGTGTGCGTGCGTGCGTATGCTGCACCTTCTCCCCATTCCTCTCCCCCGTGCCGCCAGTCCCCTCCGCGGCAGCTCGTGCAGACCGTGGTGAGCGTGCAGGCGGCGAGCGTACAGGAGCAGCTGCAGAAGATCCAGCAGATGCAGGCACAGCGGCAGCAGCAGCAGCAGCAGCGCAAGCTGGCACAGCAGGCGCGCAAGGCCTCGGAGACGCCGGCGTCGCAGGCGGCGGGGCAGGCCAACTTGCTGCACAAGCAGGTGCAGCCACTCAGAAAAAAATCGAATTAGAAGAGTGGTTGCACGTAAGCTACCAGCCGCTGTTACGTGGGTCAGCTGTTCCACTCGAGTTAATGATGCCTTGCCAAACAATCATTTAATGGCATTGGGCCAAAAAGTTCAACGCAAAGTTCTTGTAATAAAGAAGACTGCAAGGCTGTAATGCTTTCCTAGATAAAGGACATTAATATTACTTTTTAAAAGGAATTATTACATTATGTAGACAGGAATGATGTATCATACTTGAATGGCATTCATGGAATTGGCCAAACATCTCGTAAGTGGAATTCTCCTGAGGGAAAAAAAACGTATTGAAACTTCGACTTTTATGGAGAAAGGGAATTACTCTTTAATAGAGTTAATTGTTATGATAACATCATGAAACCAGGTATCATGGAGAACACGTGGACTTCATTGTAACTCATCCACCTGCATGCAAGAGGCTATATAACATGTAGGTTTATGACATGTCTGTGTAGCAGAGGTTGTGTTTGTCCCTCATTCGCATGGGTTTTCTTCCCCAACATGTCATTTATTTATCCTATTGAAACTTAATTCTAAAACGGATGTATTTATTTCATAAACACCACCCATCCACAAGAGAGTTTTCACTCATCAATGTATTTGCTTCGCTAATTTAAAATGTAATGCTTAGGACGATGCGTTTTGAATAAGTGGGCTATCTTTTCAACTCTCTTGTCATATAATTAAATATAGTGGCAGTTTGCTCATATTCATAGTAGGCCAGTTCTCATCGGTTGTCCACACTTGAGAAGTACAACATGTGAGTTATCTATAATGTAGGCAAGAGGCTGCTTAAAACAAGCTCTTTTCAGTAGCACTGCGTCAAAGCATTACCTGTAAAGGTTTTTGTCCTTGTACTGTGTGTGTAGATTGTGCAAAAGCAGAGTGCTGTGATCGAGCAGCTGAAGGCCAAGAGCCGCACCATGTCACCAGCCGAACGAGAAGACACCCAGAGGTACGTACATTGCTTATTATTGCTTAGTATTAGGATATTTTCTCTATTTTGCACTCCTGCTGTGTGTTTTTTTTTACTTGCTAACCCGCCCATGCTGGACATCTGTGAAAAAGAGTTTCATAACTTGTCGGATTCCTCTAGAATAAATGAAGATTCTGGTTCTGTTTAGAAATGTTAAGTGTCAAACCTTACATTTCTATTCACTTGAAGTTTGAATGTGCATATTGAAGTTATTAGCAAAATGTTGTTATTTAATTATTAGCAAAATCCCACTGTTCTTTTTCCAAACACTCGTAAAATGATGCATCCTTTTAAACATTGTATTTGGGTATGCCCTTGTGGCTTATGAGCATGTGATTTTGTGCCACTTTGTATCTTTATATGTAAGTGTGTATGTGCGGGCACACACGCCTGTATGTGTGCATGCGTTTGGCTACGTGTTCGGTATCTTTATGTTCACGCTTTCTACGTGTGTGCATGTAACACATTTTTTTGTGCACGTGTGTGTCTATACATGTACATGGCACTTGCATTCATGCGTGTACGTTTGCCTCCGCACATGTGGGGAGCGATAATGCAGTGGTTAGTGTGCTGCCCTATAAACTCGGCGACCCGAGTTCATAGGGCAACACCAGTGACGATTGTCTGAACCGGTCCCGGGTCTCCCGTAGGTCGACTCGGCCTCAAATTAGTGCCTGATGTGGTGTGTAAACATTGCCACTGGTGAGACAAAGGCGTGTGGCGCTAGCCAACAACCCCCTCGTCTACCGTGCTGGCCTTCATAGGCGCTCGCTCACAGCACTTGCCACAACAGTCCGTTAAGGCCTGTTTAATGTGCGCATATGTGTGCGTGCGTTCTCGTTATCTGTGTGTGCACTCGCATCCGGCCAGGCTGCTCGTGTGCAACCAGGTGCTCAAGTCCATCCTCGACCGCATCGACCGCGACGAGCGCACCGAACAGAAGAAGCGCAAGCGCGAGGAGTCGGTGGAGCAGCGGCGCAGCAAGGCGAGCGCCGGTCGCCTCTCGGCCCTGCTCTTCAAGCACAAGGAGCAGCTCCGTGCAGAGATCCTCAAAAAGCGCGGTCTCCTGGAGAAAGAGCTGCACCTGGAAGTGCAGGTGAGACTAATGGGGGGGTGGGGGGGATAAAACAGAGACGCGATTGCCAGTGGCGTTTCACATGGAGGACAAGCGAGATCTGCTTTTGTTTTTAAAGCCACAGACAATTCTTTGTTTTCGTGCTGAGCTTTACTGCTGCTGCCTTCCCATCGTTACCTCGTGCTGGGTCTGTTCTCTTTTGTCACTTGTGGCTTTTTGCGTCTTTTTCTTCTGGTCTTATTTTTTCCATGGCTTGTGCTCTTAACCGCTCCTGCTCTTGTCTCCACTGTTTCCAAAAGAAACACCGCGCATGTACCAAATGTATCACTTAAATGAGTGAAATGGGTTGTTATGCTCAAGGTACATCAAATAATGTGTAAATAATATTCTCTTAATATAGACAATCAATTTTCAAGGGGGGTAAGGGGGCGGTGACTTTGCATAACTAAAGAACAAAATAAGTAAAACTCGTTGCCCACATTTCCGCGTCGTCCTCCTCCTCCACCAATGTCTTGTGCACGACAGGACGAGCTAAAGCAGGACCTGAAGCGCCTGAAGCGGGAGGAGAAGAGGCCGCCCAGCTTGGGGCCAGCGGTGGCCGCCCCGGTGGCCAGCGGGCCCTCGCATGCCGCCCACTCCCCCGCCACATCGCCCTCCTCCGCCAGCAAGCGCAAGCGCGACTCGGACACTACCAGCTCCAAGGCCAAGCGCAAGAAGATGATCACCACCTCCTCCCGGGGCGACACCAAGAGAGACACGAAGCTCTACTGCGTCTGCAAGACACCCTACGACTCGTCCAAGTGAGCCGTCTGCCTTCGTGAACGTTCACCCTGGGACGCGGTTTTTGTAACCGCGCGCTTTGCTCGCCTCGGAATGTCAACAATGGTTACGCTTTGTAATACGTATATATACGTGTGTTGAACTTGGCGACCGCTTACGCCCGGCGCATGCTCGATCGCCTCTCCCGCCCGGCTCTGCCCCTGCGCCGCAGGTTCTACATCGGCTGCGACCTGTGCACCAACTGGTTCCACGGCGCATGCGTGGGCGTGACGGACCGCGACGCCGAGACCATGGACGAGTACGTGTGTGACGAGTGCCGCAACGCACAGGAGGGCAGCAGCGAGGAGCTTTATTGTATCTGCAAGACTCCCTACGACGAGTCGCAGTGAGTCCCTCTCCTTTCCCCCTCCCGCCCCGCGCGACGAGAACTGCCTTTACCCTCGCCGTTAACGGCCTTGCCAGATTTTTAACTCGGCAAACTTGTGTTAATAATAATGATCATAGATGATGATGATGACCACGGTGTTAACAATTACACATGTAGCAATGTTGTCACGAGACATGCATAAAAGTTTGCATGATGAGCATTTGTTATTTGCGATATCTGGATATAATTTTATCCAGATGATATGCTACTGTTACATTTAGGATAATTGAGCAAGTAAAGATACAAACGAGACGTCAAAAACTTGATACAATGCATACACGGTGGTAACAACGATGCAGTATATGTGGTTTCTCAAGGCAGATCATGACCACAAATCGTCAAGAGTTGCTGGTGCTTTAGTGGGAGCGTCGATGGTGGCGAATGCCTCCGTACAAAACCTTTGACGACGACGGCTATAAATGAATTTTCGCGAAGTGCGAACGGCGACCATTGGCGCGCGCACCGGTCCCTACACCTGCCCCGCTTTGCCGCTGCGACCGCCGCAGATTCTACATCGGCTGCGACCGCTGCCAGAACTGGTTCCACGGCCGCTGCGTAGGCGTGCTGCAGAGCGAGGCGGAGTTCATCGACGAGTACGTGTGCCCCAACTGCCAGTCGGCCGAGGACGTGATGACGGCGCTCAGCCCGCTAACGGAGCGCGACTACGACGGCCTTAAGAGGATCCTGCGCTCCATGCAGGTGCGGCAGCGGCCGCGGCGGCGGCCGCGGCGGCGGCCGCGGCGGCGGCGGCGGCCGCGGCCGCGGCGGCGGTGGTTTGCGCCCGTCGGCAGTCTCGGGGGAGGGAGGGAAGAACATGAGGCCGTTGAGGTGGCCACGCACATGGCACTCGCTAGCACGCGTATGCACGGCCGGGCTCGTAAGAGCATGCAAGCGGTTGTGTGTGTGTGTTGTGTGTGTGGTGTGTGTCCAAACAACTTGTGTTTGTTTTTGTCTCCCAATTTTATTATTCCAGTTGCGCAGCGAGTCGTCTTTTCACTCCATTCTGAACACTCGCGTGGAGCATTATTCATTGGGCCACGCCATCTTAGGGAACGGTGCACTGAAGGCGATTTCAGAAAACTACCTTGGAGCTTTCTTAAAATGACCTCTAATTCACACTCAGGGGCATTGAACTTTCCCACGCACCCTGCTGTAGAGATGTATAATTATCAGAATTGTTGCCATTCAACCATGCAATTATGAATGACGCAATTTGACCACAGTGCCACTTAGTCCAATGTTGGCTCATAGCTCGGGATTGTTTTTTTTATTTCATTTGCCGACGCTTAAATACTTTATCGCTGCATCCAGAGGTTTTTTTTGTCAGTAACGGGGTTTAAATTAAACATCTCGCAACAGTGAAATGCGGTGTACATAGCCATTATAGAGCAGCTTGTTACGACGATGGTAACGGTACCAAGCTAAACGAAAAGCACTCGACCACCAGATGAAATTTGAACTCGTAAACTTCCCACTGTGAGTGGAGCTCTATACTCCCGCACCACTGCCAAAAAGTCCAGGCCTTTAAGCATTTTTATGAATTGTATATTTCACAAGCGAATAAAGGATATACCATCTAAAGGCATTGTACATGTTTTTCCGAGACCTGGAATTTAAGACAGCTTTAACAATATATGGTTCTCCAACGCCAACTTGCCATATCTTCTCAGGTACACAAGATGGCATGGCCTTTCCTAGAGCCAGTCGACGAAGAGGAAGCACCTGGGTACTACGAAGTCATCAAAGAGCCCATGGGTGAGCTTGCTTCATTGCGGCGAGGGCTCGCTGGCTCACCTTGGGCTGTGGTGGTCAAACTTCAAACGTATAATTTTGATTTCACCTCCCTTGCCAAAGAGACTAAGCACCTAAATTATATGTGTGTAAAACAACAATTGTGATAATTCGTCACGTTATGAGTAGAATGAGAAATTGGCTCTTGCCATGGGAATGTGCAATTTACACCTACGGCTCGGGGCTTAAAATGGAGTTTAACGGTGTTCGCATTGCGCATTTGAGCCGGGAGACATTTTAGTTTGGATTATTTTGGTTAATCCTGCTGTCGAACTCTGTGTTAAACTCAAATCCTCGCACATGTCCCTTTGAAAACTAAACCCTCGTGTCCCCCGCTTCGCTCTTCCCCTCTTCACCACACGCCCACAGACTTGTCGACCATCGAGAAGAGGCTCAGCTCGCGCTTCTACTCAAAGCTGGCCGAGTTTGTGGGTGACATGACCAAGATGTTCGACAACTGCCGCTACTACAACCCCGGTGAATCGACCTTCGCCAAGTGCGCGGAGGTCCTCGAGACATTCTTCGTGCAGAAGCTCAAAAGTTTCAAGGCCAACAGGTAGAGAGAGGCACCCACCCCCCTGGCGGGCATGAAGATTGTGGGGTGTGTGAAGGCTTGAGGTGCCGGCAAGCTGTGACGAGCAGATGTCACGCAGTGCTTTTTGAACTTTCCTATCTGGAATTCCTGCTTTGCGCTTTTTCTTCCTGCTGCGATTGTTGGTGCCGCACCTTTCTTCTTGCCTCCTTCCCTGCGACGCCCGCTGCCCTTTTCCCACTTCCTCTGCAGAGCTGGACTTTAGTTATAGCTGCCCTGGTTCAAGAAAAGGACACTGCTTTTAATCAACCGTGCGCTTCTCAACGCAGCTTTTAGATCGGCAAAACGAAGCCCCTGCATTATCTGACCAACGGTGGATTGCACTTGTGTTCCGTACCCTGGCTTCACGCTACGTCAGTGTACCGACACCTGTGGGCATAGAGAATGGTCTCCTTTGAGCCAGACAATCGTGACCAAGCCAATTGCATCTGGGTAGCAATTCGGCCTCAAAATAATGTTGACTTCAGCAGGACCAGCAGCAGCAGCCTCTCCTGGGTATCACAGTGACTTCACCCTTCAATGGACTACATTGATTTATGCTCGGGCAGCTCCGCTCCTCTTTTCTGAACTGAACATTGCTTGGTGTAGCTGTGTTGTACCCTACTGTGCCAACCACCACACCCTGCAGCCAGAAGTCATCAGACTCCAGAAGCTAAGCAAGGCCAGGCCTGGTCACAAAATGGATTGGTTAGCGTGTTTGAAATGTCAGGTCTCCATGGGTGAGTTGCTATCGGATGTTCAGTATCGGGATACTTGCTTGGCATCATAATCTGGCTGATGTCCCAACACAGTGCTAAGGAATACTGCACCTCAAGAGTTGGTGTGAATCAAATGAGAGACGGCTGTTAATGAACCTGCGGCAACGGCGGAGACACTAGCCTACACAAGTCCTGCCATGCAAGAATGCAGTGGTAACCTTCCCTGGACCTGCCAGCTCCAGTTTTCCCGACGTGGCATTCATAAAGTAGAGGTGGCCCCTCATGGCGATGGGGACATCCCAGCAGATGACGATGCCCAGGCGTCTTGATTGAGATCGATACTGAATAACGCATTTCCGCCTTCATGTTTTCCAGGACGGGGGGCTTCACGAAGACGGGCCAGGCGACCACAATTTCGGCTTTAAAAGGAAAGAAGCCGGGCTTTCCGTGCGTGCAGTAGATGTGCGCAGACAGGCTTGCCAGTTTGTCGAATTTGGTTTAACAGGCCTGGCGCTGCCGTCTCCTGTTTCAAATGCTAGGCATGTTGGGTGGATGAGGTGGGATGGCGGCAGGAGTTTCAGCAGCTCGTGAGGGGTCTCCAACTGATGACCGCGGTTGGAATGGAGGATGGGCAACGAGAATAGGGAACCTTGCCGTGGGTTAAAAAAAAATCTATAAAAAAAAAGTAGAAAGTAGCAGAAAAAATTACAGTGACTGTATTGAATTTTGTATTTAAAAAGAAAAATGAAAAAATGGCTAAGTTGACTTCCAAAGCCAACTTAAATCCCAAACATGTCACTAATCGCAGTGACCTTTTTTCTCTCCATAGTAGTTTTAACTGCACCATACCTTAGCCCATGAGCTCTGTACATAAGTCATGTGTGTGTTGTAGAATTTTTTTATTTTAATAAAAAAAAAACAGTGTCCCCCTTATCTTTCTCGGCTTCCCCTCCATTGGCCTTTCCCACCTCCCGTTTCCCACCTTAAAATAACTAAGCAGGAACTCTTTACCCCCCCCCCCTTCCTCACCATCCCCTCCCATTCCCATCTCGTGCGGAAATAAGCTAGCGATTGCGCTTTCTATCTGTGGGGCAGTGCAAAACAGCAGCGATTCACAAGTGTGTGTGTAATTCAAAAAAATGACACCCTATGCGTTTCAGGGGTACGGGGATAACAAAAACACCGGCTGGTGGAAGACTCAACCGCACCCACTGTTAAAATGAGTTGTTTCACTCGCACGCACGCACACACACGTGTGTGTGTGTGCTTTTGAATGGATCAGGGAGGCGCCTCACTTTGTTTTGAGCACCCCTCCAACCAACGCCCCCAAGCCCCCTTTGGAAACATACTTCGTCGAGTATCAAAATGTGCGCGCCGCGACACGCGATTTTCCGTGCGTCCTGTGCTATAGGTTAGCGTATGCGTGGGTTTTTTTTGTTCAAGCAGTCGATAAATTGTGCTCTTACTAGTGGCTTGACCGATCAGTCACTCGACTCTCCCTGCCAATTACGGTTGATTGCGGAAGTATGTGTTTTTCTCAATTATTCCCTTTTTGCTCTTGGCTCTTTTTGAAAAAAGACACCGGTCCAAAATTTTTTATTTTTTACTCTTTGAAAAATAAGCGAAATGCACATCGAGTGCTGCGAAAGCCAAACGAGTGTGGTCGTTAATACTGTACTACAACTTGGTCTGCCCCACTGATTCCACACGCTTAAAGGTGTCGACATAATTCTTATTGGAAAGGCGTTCACTCATAAAAAAACAATCGACTGTATGATGTGGACGTAAATTTAGGTCTCATACCGACGCTAGATTGTATTTAATAACGTGCCCAGTTTTTTGCAGCAGGCCTTCCAGCAATCGGGCACATGGAGTCATTTTGCAGAAAGCATCCAGTGCAAGCAAGGCTTGTCTTGAATCTAGTGTATATGTGAATGAAAAACAAGAAACGCTGATGCTCGGTTTAACTTCTTTGCAAAACCTCTAACTCCTCAAGCAGTTGGCCTCGAACTCCTGTTCATCCAAATGTGTTCCGCCGTACGATTTTTTAATGATCGAAAATATGACTTCAGGCAGTGACGCCTAAAAGCCCAACCTGCGTGTTCAGTCCACATACTGTCATGCTAGAATCGGAGCCACCTTTGCAAATCGCCCGACTCCAGTCTCCTGGTGCCGTCAGCATTCGTCCGATCTTTTGATGCCCACGTGGTTTAGTAGTGATGCTGAAACCATTTACAAATGTCTGAATTGTCAGATATCGGCACTTCACAAATCCCAAAAGGAGGCTGAAATGAGGTATTCCATTTGTTTATCTGGACATGGTAAAAAAATAAACAATACTGCCTAAATTGTGGTTTCAAGATTCAAAAAAATAAAATATTAACTCCTTTTCCACACCCCTTTGAGATGACTGACAATTTAAGAGAAATCTTCAGTCGTGTCGAATTAAAGTGTGTGTTGTGTGTGTTTTTACCAGGGAAACCCTCTTTAGATTTATCCATGTTATGACGAGCATGTACATTTTGAATTATTTTAATGAAATGAACTCCATCTTAACAGAATAGAATTGGTATGAGATGTACAACATTGGTCACATGCTGTTAAGAATTGCTTTGAAACTCAACATTATGCCACGTGCATTGCCAGATCAGTGCTGGCTGTAATTTGAAGCTGTCTCCGTTTTGTTTGGCTTGTAATATTTACATTGCAATGTAAAATGTATTTTGCTTTCACACCTGTCGTTGTAATTTAGTTATCTTGTTAAATGCGTATTTCATGATATTTTAGATAAAAACCTAAACTATTTTTTTTGCTCTCCCTTGTATATGTTAATTTGCCTCTTTTGTTCTACCATCTCCACCCCCTAAACCTGGCCTCAACCACTGCACGTCTGTCGCACCACGCCTGTGCGATAACGTAGACATCACCAATGATGCCCTTTTAGTTGTGGCAGCTACAAGTGTCATGACCACACCCAGTGCACGAGAACTACTTTTGGTTGAGAATCCACGTCAGAACAGCCGTCCTGCAGTACGTTGTTGATAACCCTTGGATTTTGTAAAGCTGAATGTTGCAGGGTAGGTTGTTTCTGGAGGTTCAGGTTTGACTCGGTCTTTGTATTTTCTGTACTTTAAAGGGGAACGCTAGCAGTAGCATGGTGTTTAGCGCGTAACGCCAACGAACCTGTCAACCTGTGTTCAATTTTCATTCGAGGCCAACATCGGTGGCGAATATCTGAAGCCATGCTGGGCCTTCTGTACGTCGACTCGGCATTTTAGGGGTGCCTGGTGCCATGTGTAAAGTACCAGCACTGGGGAGATGGGGGTAGCCACACCATCCCCACTGTGTACTGCTCTCGCTTTCATCGGTGCTTGCTAACAGCACTTGCCCCAACAGTCTGTTAAAGGCCTCATGAGGAGTCTTTCAAGTGCATCCTACCGAACCCGCTCAACATCTTCCCCATTTCATATGCACCCTTGCTATTCTCCTTTCACACATTTACAGCATTCACAATCAAGACGTTTTTGTTGCAAGAAATTCACCAGTGCTCGCGTGGCTCTTCTTCCATTTATGTCATCAACAACACCACCGATAATCATTTCAGATCCGACAGATATTTAGTTGCCCTGCTATTGTTTTTTCCTCCCCCCAGCGAGCCGGTGGGGTCTTCGAGTCAATTGGACAGTCTGCATCAAACTGTCGTCGCTGATGGGGGACACCATTTGTGATCGTTTGTCTCACCGCAGTGGAACCCAGCCATTGGAGCCTTCATCCATTTGTAGTGGAATGATCACTTGCTTGTTTGCGGGCCTGAGCTGAACCCCCCCCCCCCCTCTTTGAGTGTTGCTTCTTTAGTCACGCGCTGGACAAGCGAGTACTTGACACATCTAGTTGTGAGTTGATCGCGATGCGTCTCGCGTGTCACATCACGCGCTTGCAGCTATTTTGTGGGGAGCGGTAGTTAAGCGGTTAGCGCGCCGCGCTACGAACCCGGCGGCCAGATTTAAATTCTCGCTGATGGTCAACACCAGTGAAAATTATCTGAACTGGTCCTGGGCCCTCCCGTAGGTCTACCTAGCCTCAAATGAGTACCTGTTGCGGTGTGTATACATCGTCGCTCGGGAAACAAAGGCGGCCGGGCGTGGTGCTGTGCCGTGCCGGCCTTCGTAGGTGCTCGCTAACAGCACTTGCCCCAACAGTCTGTTTGGACTATGTACGGGGAGGGGGTGGGGGATCTTTGTAGCTATTTTTAATTAACGTGGCAACGTTCAGTGGAACGCACCTCGGTGGGCATGTGGAACCCATTTACCCATGAACCGGTCGCGTTTCCTTCCATATTTGTGGGTCCCTCCCCATTGCGATCGCGGAGCTATGAGTGCTGAGCCAATGCAGGAGGCAGGGAGATATGGGCAGAGAAGTTATGGACGAGTTTAGGTGAATAATGATGGTTCCTGTACAGTCTTTGATGCAGAGTTGTACAATTTTGCGAAGCATATTTAGAATACATCGTTAGCTTATGTTTTCGTATTTCTTTTCGTTTTGTTTCGCAGTGTTGTTTATTTTTGTTTGTATTGCGCCTCTATCGTGTATAATATGAGATACTGAAATGATACAGTGAAGAAAAAAACATTTTAAAAATTGTTATAAATATCGAGTCACGGACGATGCTTTTAGTAGTATTGTGTTTTTTTTGTCGCAGAACTCAAAATATGTTTTCCTGTCAATCCGACCGGCGGTTATTGCATCCCACTTATTACGTGATGAGACGTGCGCATGGGAAGGACAAGAGCTCTCTACAACGTCACAACCACCACATGTTGCTGTTGAAACACCCGTCACGTCCATCCTGACCTTTAACACATACGTACGATGATTTTTTTTTTGGGTTCTGTTCTGAAGGTTCCCTTTCAGTATTTGTTTCATGTTATCGGCTCATATTTTTTTGAATGTTTTATTTCATTGTATATTTATTCCCATTTGGATCCACGCGCTTTCACGTCCATCGTAGTGTGTAGGGTGTTAACCCGTCCAGGCGGTGCGACGGGGAACCGGCCCTTCGCTCTCGTCTCAAGCGACGCCTGTGCCCTTGCGGGTCCGCAGGCAGACTTTTGTACTTTGACATTCGTCATCTCCAGGAGAAATAAACTTTCGAAAAACTTTGCAAGTGGACGCGGTGCCCTCATTTTTGTTCATAACGTGGCGTTTGCCAGGGGGGGGGGAGGGGAGAGGTGCCGAGGGTGCGTTCAAGCGAGTAGGGGTTCCTGCAATTGAAATTTTTTTTTTTTTACCGGTAAACCGCTTTGACGCACATTTACGGGGACGTATTGCCGAGCAGTCAACATTATTTCGTTTGAACTTGTAAATTGCGAAATGGTGGTTGGGGGGGGATGGGGTGGCCTTATGGTGAACACAACGTGGAGGTCTACGGTTCGATTCCATCTCGTGGCACGGCAGTTGGAACAGTGGCAAAAGTTGTTATATGCCCCCCGCGCCTCTGTCCATCGGGATCACCACAGTCGATTGGCAAGTCACGTGTATTGGAGTAAAGAGTGTGGGTTCTGCCCACCTCTTCTAAGACATTTGGCCAGTATGGAAGAAGAGACCAAATAACCCTCTGCTGCTTCCTTTCGTGGGGGCCCTTTCACTCGCACCTCCGGTTTAGCACCGTTGGGCACGTATGGTGCGAAAAAAGGTCTACATACTAGCAGTGGCGTAAGCAAGCGATTTCAGGGGCTGCGCCTTTGAGCTGCGAGGTGATGGCTGTGATGTAAATGTTCGCGCGTGCCAGTTGGTTTAATTAATTTATAAAACTATGCTAGAATCGGTTACGGTTCCTGTTTTTTTGGCCCGGTAACCGATTCTGAAAACGGCTACTCGGTTATTATTTCACAGCTCTAGTAGTGAGTGAACTTGTGCGGTCAATTTCATGTACATTTTTGATCGCATGTAAAAGTATAACCAGCATAGAGCCAAGTTATATAGAGCAACAAGCGCTGTAAAGATGTAATATAGAAGTGGCTCCGTTTAATGAGCCACATGACGGAAACTTGGCCCATTCCATCTTTATTCCATTCCGACAGGATGTGATTGCAACATTTTAAGGGCTCTCGGAAGCAAGTTTCTGATATCCGCTTCTGCGTGTCATTTCTTAATGGAGGGTTGCACTTCTCCGTCAATAAATTGTTTATCTATACACGACTCCAGTCGCAAACGTGGGATAAGATTGTTTCAAACTTCGTCACAAATATATATAATACACAGACTGCTAAAGTCAACTGCATTCCCTAGTTGAGATTAATCTGCATCAGCTGATGTGCCCACTAGTTTATATTCTTATGTTTTATCCAGGTTTTGTGTCCTCAACTAGAAAACTGATTCTTCCACAATTTTCCAGCATCTTTTCTTTTTCTAGATTTGAAGCTTTCGTGACTGCAAGGATCTATACTCTTTGGTTCTATTCGGTAAAGTCACGTGTTGTTTTATTTTTTACCTACGTGACTTTACCGAATAGAACCAAAGAGTATCTTTTTTTATCAACGTCCAGCAGATATTACTGCTCTATTCTCAAAAGGGAGAATAGCCTCACTGCTGCATGTAGAACAGCTGTGGAGATACCCAATTTGGCAAAAAGTTTGGTCTTGTAAATAAAGCCATGGTGGTGTCTCGAGACACGATAGCGTAACTACATATTAAGGGTGTAATGATGCATAGATTAATACTAATTAAGACCTTGGTACATCACACTGTGTAACAAAAAATACATTTTATTTTCTTCCTGGGTAGTGTTATTTCTTATTGCTTATGCCTCAAAAGTACATAAAATGGCTATTATTCCCCAAAAACTTTGCTTTTGTGACCAGGACAGTGCTATTTTGAAATTTACCTATGTTCAATGAGTAAACGTGGTGTGCATTTGTGTCATTCCTTCACATAAAGTCCTGGTCACAAAAGCAAAGTTTGTGGGGTATATAATAGCCATTTTATATACTTTTGAGGCATCAGCAATTAGAAAATAACACTTACTACCCAGGTACAAAAATCGTGTTACATAGTGATCATCGGTGTGCGTAAGAATCGATGGGGTTATTTTATTAGTATACGAGCGGGAAGTACCCAGCAGAATAGTGGCAAATTCTGGAAAATCGCCTGAAGATGCTGGATGTAATTACCAGCAAAACGTCGTACTCAAATTTAAAATGTTGTGGATTCACTCTTCAAACACACCGGTGGGTTGAAGAAGTAACTAATTGGCATTTTGTTAACTTGACACATTTTTTTCTGATTGGCCATGTCGGGTGGTGGAGGGTTGCGAATCATTTATAATAACGCGATCTAACCCAAAAACCTTTATTATGAAGAATACTAGTCACAAAAGCCTATGTGTTAACATATAGTAGTAACTACTAACTCTACAGTAGTATCGACTGACTATACTAGTATCTACTGACTATAGTAGTATCTACTGACCGTAGTAGTATCGACTGACTAGAAGTATTTAATGACCGTAGTAGTAGTATCTACTGACTGTAGTAGTATCTACTGACTCTCTCGTAGTATCTTCCGACTATAGCAGTATCAACCAACTCTATAGTAATAAATACTGACTCTACAGTAGTATCTAATGACTAAAGTAGTGTAGTGTCTTGTAAAATCACTCAGCCGGACATGTTACAGGCCACCTGCTTACACTTTGTTACTCTATTCTTGCACCAGTTGTAGGCACCCCTGTCTGTCTATACGGTCACTTTTGTTAACTAACTTCCCCTATCTACTTTACACCTCGCTAACCCGCCTGTGGCAGCTCTTCCTCAGCAGCT